CTGAAAAAGTTTTAAGCCTGAAGCTTTCTCAAGGTATATTTTACACTTCATACCCATGGCTGTTTGAGGATGATTGGTACTCAAATGGAGAACAATGAGAAATTATGCTATGAAGATCTGGAGAAAATTAGATAACGCATAGGAGTTGTTAGACTTAAGCATAATATTTAACAATTTGAGTGTGGGGACCATGTGGATTGTAATAGCCTTGGGTTTGGAAGAGAGATGTTTTACCTACCGTCACTCTTTTATTACCTGAATACCTGGAATTTTTGCGATAGTTAGCAGGCTCAAAGTACATTTTACCCTTCATACGCATCTTAGGGAGAATTCAAGTCAGAACATTTGCATTTAAAATGAATGTGAACGCCCTCTCCAGGGCTACCTCACAATGTAGTTCAATGTCAAAGATGTTTCCAATCATTATTTCTTAAATGCGAAAATTCTCACCTGAGGGTTCCTTTTATACAGGTTGGTAGGTCTTGGCTAAACAACTATGGTTGATGAATTGTTTTTGTTTAGAATTTGGTAGATGTTAATGTTTCACGGGTTTGCAATTGGATGCCTTGGCTCTTCCTAAAATATTGAAAGTTACAATAAACATGATTTAAACCACGCTGAAAAATGCATGGAAGATTTAGAAGGCCCACGTATCTGGAAGCGGTTTTGACGTATCTGTCATGTCAACAGCAGAACTTTCTTTACCCCTTTTTGGTATTCATTATTTAATAAGGTGACTAAGATGTGTGTTTCCATTTTCAGTGGAACAAGAATTATTGGAGAGGGAGATTGGGAGGCTACGAGCCTTGTATCAGCAACAACAACAGCAGCATCAACAGCAGCGACCTTCTTCTAGCCATAGCCGCTCTAACAGCAGAGACCTTGATTCCCAATTTGCAAACCTGTCTTTGAAACACAAGGATGCAAATGCAGGTCGTGACCCTGTAACAGGCGCACTTGGCATTTAGATGTGCAATGTGGCCAAAAGTTGTGTTTTGCCTCCACTTTTCTTCCACTGATCGATGTTGCATGCCTTGCCTGACCAAGTTTCTTGCTTCCCTTGTGCGGGATAAGGCCGAGCTATTCCACTCCCGGCGCCTTCTCTCTCTGTCTCTCTCTTCTCACTTTGTGCGATTTAATTTCTGTTTATTGCCCTTGTCTGTTAAGTTAATGTCGGTGCACCTGGTAGCCAACTCCCAAAGTAAATTCTACTTGGGGCAGTTGACTTACCGGTGGTGGTAACTCAAAGCAGGTTCAGTATTTCAATCGTTATTGTATGTCTGAAGTAAATCATTTATTCATAAAATGTTGTATGTTCCATTTTTTGCCCGTTGCAGAGTTCAGCATAGTACAAAACGATGGGCCGATTGGATGGTAGCAAAAAAAATCTGTACTTGTAAAATGTTTCAAATGAAATCTGTGGTTTCTTTGATTTTGTTGTCACTGTTGATATTATTGATATGCACGTATCGCACCTGTTCAAAATTTTAGTTATTTTTCTGTACAGTTCTCGTTTGCGATGTCAGCATATTGGACGGAAAATTTGACGACGGATTTGAGTATAGGAGATAAAAGTAGGAAACCCTTCCCTCCTCATAGTGTAGAATATCGTTTGTATTTGAGAAAATGACTTTCAAGGAGTGAAGTGGCTTTCGTGAATACTTTCAGATGCTTCTCGTCCGTAACCAAGCACGCATGTTGAAGACATTAACCTTGTAAATACAAAGATTTGAAAACGTCCAGCAGTTGGTGTTTGGTCTATAAAGGATCTGGACATGTCAAAATGATGTAGTTTTTAAGGGAGGTTTGCCGGTTGTGCATATGGCAGTGCGTCTGCTGTAAACAATGGATAGTGAGGAAGATGGGGTGGGATGTTTCATCACTGCGGGAGGGGATGGGATTGCTCCTTGCTGCTCAAGTTTAGCGGCTGAGGCGGAGGCGGTGCATACAGGCTTAACAAGTTTCTAGTCTCATTTGCGTGCAGTGTCTTTTCGTTTTTTTCAAAGGTTTTGATTAGAATGTTGACGTGTAAATCAAGTAACAAAATCATAATCTCCTACGAGAAGAAGCTTGGAACTCATACCCAACGACAGTGCTCGAAAGACGGCTTTTCGTAAGAGAAAGACTAGTGTATACAAGAAGGCCGACGAGCTCTCCAAACTTTGTGACATTGATGTAGCCTTAGTTGTCTACGAAGCTGATCAGAAGAAGGGGATTAGGCCAATTCAGCCGGAGAAGTGACCACAAGATCCAGCTGAATTCAATCGCATTCTTTACAGGTACAAGGCTTCCAAGGATGCTGCTGCCCCCGGTTTCCAAAAGAGAAACTTCAGTTTGTCCCATTTTTATGAGGCCAAGAAGAAGAAAGATGATGGCGCCGGTGATGGTGATGGTGACGATGATGAGGACGGAGATGATGATGATGATGTCAATCCCAAGCTTCAAAAACAAGGCAATAAGCAGATTTCTGAGGACAAGTACCCAATATAGGATGCTCGGATTGCCCTGTTTCCAGAGGATGAATTGATTAAACTCATTGCTTCACTCGAATCCAAGATACAGGCCTCGACACTGGAGATTGATTCCATGGAAAGACATAAGATTTATGCTGCAAAACAAAATCAAAATTTATCCCAAACTGAGTCAAGCGCAAGCAAAACACCTGGACGCTTGAAGCCTGCGAATTTTTATGTGCAGAATCCCCCCTCACAAGACCATGTAAAGCCATTCATTCATGGCGCATTAGGTAAAAAAATTACTCACGAATTGGCCCAATGGGGTGGTTTAATAAGAATTCGGTGAATGCTACTACTACTAGTACTAGTACTTCAGCCTTGCAACCTAAGAATCCGATGAGTACTACTTCTGCTACTAGTACTTCAGCCATGGAATCGAAGCCTCCATTGCCTGTGAAACGTCCAATGCTGCCAAGTGCGTAGCTTTCAAGCTCAGAATCACACAAGAAGATTAATTAAGGACACCATCTCTAATCCTTGGTTATCGAACTTCTAGTCTTCTACTAATGTTTAGTTTTGTTTAGAGATTTGCGATTGTTTTGCAATTTTATTTCAATTAATTCACTGTTGGAAGTCGGTTATTTCGCTTCTGCTTTCGTTCTTGATAAAGTTATCCTGGTAATTAAAATGAGATGATTAGTTGCTGCAAACTGTCCAATTTGTGACTCTAGTAAGCCGAGCATGATGAAGTGCGTCTTGTACATCTGGGCGGTTTCAGCATGTAGTTGTTTCATCTTCGATACAGACATCCACCTTCACTGTATTTCGCTGCAGATAATGTGAGTTCAAATTAAACACAATATGTTGGCCTGTTGCAAATTCATTTGAACAGCCATTATCGAGTCCGACTCAACAGCAAGAGGTAAGAATCCTCCATCAATTGCGAAAATTCCACCCCGGGTGGCAAGTTGCACCCAATCCACCTTCTACTCGTACCATAATAACCACATTGTAATAGCTAATAAAACACGTTGATCAGTAAGCAACTCCCAGGTCAAATATGGTTACTTGAGATGGAAAAAAAAAAAAAAATATGTGGTGACGTGCGGTGGTATGGGTAAAATATGAAAATTTATCTGTTCCTCTTCACTTGTAATTGCGGGGTTTCAAGTTCATCACACATGAATAGCGATGAGATATGATATTTGGCTTTTTAGCCAAATGGTCTCTAAGATTGGCATAACTCCTCACTTTGGTCCATGAAATTTAAAATCAATAGAAGTAGTCAATAAGTTTGTCCACTGTCAATCATTTTGTTTATTTCGTGAAAAATCTATGTTAAATAAGGACCAAAATGATAAAAGTACCCTTAATTTTTGTTAAATCATTTGGCCCATTGTTTATTGAGTTAAGGGTATTTTTGTCATTTTGGTTCTTCTGTAATAAAGATTTTCACGGAATGACTAAAATGTTTGACGGTGGACAAACTCAAGATCACTTACACCTATTTCAAATATCAAGAACCAAAGTGAAGATATGTCAATCTCAGAGACAATTTTGAATAAAAATGCCTTATACTTGTGTTGAATTCGATATCTAGTTAGTGGCTGACCTATTGTGTGGCCTAACCCAATCCTCCTCTCCTTAAATTGAATATCGTTGTATAAAAAAAAAGAGTAAATTGTAACAATGGTCCCTTAACGAAAAGTTCATTATCATTGATCCCTTATTAAAATGTATAGCTATGGTCCTTTTCGTCAATTTCGTTAGACTTTTGTCAAAATAAGTTACGTTAGAAGAACCATTGCTACAATTGAGGTCTCTCAACTCATCAAAACGTGTAGCTATGGTCATTTTCGTCAACTTCATTAGGATTTTGTCAAAATGAGTTATGTTTGAAGGACCATTACTACAATTGGGTTAAAGTTGAGAGACCATTGCTCTAATTGGATTAAAGTTGAGAGACCATTTTTCAAGTTGGATTATAGTTGAGGGACCATTTTTCTAGTTGGATTATAGTTGAGGGATCAATGGTAATGAATTTTTAGTTGAGGGACTACAGCTGCACGTTTTGATGAGCTGAGGGATCAATGGTAATTGAGTTTTAATTGAGAGACCATTACTCTAATTGAGTTCAAGTTAAGGGATCATTATTACAATTTACCAAAAAAAAAAAAAAAACCGGATGCCATTATTATCTTCCCTCGGGAAAAAAAAGGAAAAGATTAATTTTTTTTTTCTTTAAAATAAGGGTTTTGTACATGGGGAAAAAAGGAAATTAAAGATCAGAATGTCGATGACGTGTAAATCAAGTAATAGAATCATGATCTCCTGATATATTTGGAAACTAGTTTTCTCAGTTTAATTTTTGTTTCCTATTCGAATTTGGTTTCCTTGTACAACATGCACCTCTTCCCGTACTTCCCTCCCTCTATATACAACTCAATCACCACCCTATTTTCTTGCTCATTGTGTATTACTTACAATTTAGAATTCGGAATTTGGAATTTCAGAGAGATCGCGGAGAAGATCGAGCAGAAGAAGATGGTGGCTCCTACAAGAAGAAGCTTGGAACTCATACCCAATGACAGTGCTCGAAAGATGGCCTTCCGGAAGCGAAAGAAAAATGTATACAAGAAGGCCGACGAGCTTTCCAAACTTTGCGACATTGATGTAGCCTTGATTGTCTACGAAGCTGATCAAAACAAGGACATCAGGCCAATTCAACCGGAGACGTGGCCACAAGATCCAGTTGAATTCAATCGCATTCTCGACAGGTACAAGGCCTCCAGGGATACTGCTGCCCCTGGTTTTTCCAAGAGAAACTTCGATTTGTCTGATTTTTATGAGGCCAGGAAGAAGAAAGATGAGAAAGATGACAATAATGGTGACAACGATGATAATGATGATGGTGATGATAGTGATGACGATGATGATGCTCATGTTGATCCCGAACTTCATAAACCGGGCAATAAACAGATTTCTGAAGACAAGTACCCAACATGGGATCCTCGAATAGACCAGTTTTCACAAGATGAATTGACTGTACTCATCGCTTCACTCGAAGCCAAGATACAAGCCTCGACACTGAGGATTGACTCCATGGACAGATACAAGCTATATGCTGAAAAACAAAATCGAAATTTATCCCGGCCTGAGTCAAGCTCAAGAAAAACACCGCACCATTTGAAGCCTGCGAATTTTGATGAGCAGAACCCTCATGACGTGCAGAATCCCCCCTCTCAAAACCCAATAAATACTACGACGACTACTAGTACTTCAGCCACTCAATCAAGGCCTCCGGCGTCTGTGAAATGTCCAATGCTTCCAAGTGCATGGATTTCAATCTCAGAATCACAGAAGACTTCATTAAGGACGTCATCATCTGGTGGATGAATGGATCTAATCCTTGGTTATCGAACTTCTACCAATGTTTAGTTTGATTTTTCTTTTTGGAAAATAGTAATTATTTTGATTGGTTCATCTTTTTGGCAATAAATGAATTTGACCTTAAGTTTTTGTTTAGAGATCAATTAGCGATATATTGTTTCATAATTTTAGCTCCATTAATTCATTGTTGGAAGTTGGTCATTCTGCTTTAGCTTTGATTGGTAATGACATCCTAATAAATTTATCGCGAATGCTTTTGTCCAAATAATTTTGTTCAGTTGTACTTTGAGTACATCAAAAACAACAAAGCTTTATTTCATCAAGTGGAATCGACTGTATGAATCCTAAAACTCCACTACGCTGAATAAAAAAATAGGAGGCCAGGTGTGTTCAGTTGTAAAAAAATGGCTAGATTTGCATAATGCTAATAAATTTGGTTTGACATATATATATATATATATATATAATGAAAATGTATGGAAACAGATTAATTTTGAGATTAAATAAATGTAAGTACACAAACGTGGTACATGGTTTTCATATTTCTGAAGTTGCTACAAAACTAAAATAGAATTCCCTTTTATGGCTAGCCCATTGTGAGGTTTAGCCTATCACTCATCCTTTAGTGTAGATAATATCGAATGTAGTCAGATTAGAACTAGCCGTTGATTTGACCAATAAGAAAGATGAAGTTGAAAGGATGGAATTAACTTAGGTTTCAACAGATATTGGGGGTAGGGAATTTGGCTAAGGTGACCCTTAATGGCTGCAATCACCAACCTATAAATTCTGGTTTAAGACTGGTCTGCCATTGCATTGTCAAAATATATATATACAGTGAAACTTGTCTGGTAAAATATATATACCATTGAATATTACAACATTACTACTTTAATTAATCGCAAGTTTAACAACTGCAGACATGGTTTTTCGAATTTCAACGGTGCTAGAAAACCAAAAACGAATTTCCTACAAGTAATGAATCTAAGATCACCAGCATTAACTCTTCAGACAATATGTCAGAACACAGCTACAAGGATCCCTAACGAGATGAAAGCTACAATGGAAAGCTTTGATGCTGTCGCACTAGGAGCCGCATTTGGAAGTCTAGGGTACTCGTCCGGAGGGGGCATCACACATTCATCCCCGTTGAATGAAATTTTCCTAGGAAAAGTCCATCCCTCTCTAAAAGTGAAAGTCCCTGCATCTTTGTGCAGTAGCATCTCTGTCTGCACGACCCCATTCTTCCCCGTAGTGAGTAACAGGTCGTTGTAGTATTTGATTCCCCAAAACATTCCTGTATCATCTGTAGAAAGCAAATGCAGCTCAATGTTATTTGCAAAGTTGTGTATTCTAAACAGAACAAATTATGGGGCTTTCGGTTCGTTTAACTTACTTATGGTTCCATACTGATTGAGAGGGTGGTAGTTGAAGCTGAAAAGCTGAGTCAAGCTTTGCAGATTCGGGTGCTGAACGACTAAGGTCCAGTAAGAATAGTTTTTAACAAAATTGTAATTGGTGATTGTAATCTTGACCCTCCAGTACTCCTCGTAACTCTGCTTGACATGCCAATGTACTCTTATTGGGCACATGTGCCGCGAACAAGTCACCAAAGGTGATGGTTCTTCAGTCTCATGCGCATGCGGAAGTTGCAGAAGAGGTGGAGATTCTTCACCTGGCCTGCTGATTTGTAGTATACACAAAAATTGATTCATTGTAGAGAATACCAAAGAAATATTGAAGCACAAAGTATAAGACACAAGGTTCTTAAAAGCAACTATTACCAACAAAGACAAATAAAAACTTCAAAGACTCGAATAAAATGTCCCAAAGTTGTTTAAGTTCTTTGTAAATGTTTCAGAAAAGTTTGCTTTAAATCATCAAAACATGTTTTAGTTTCATATTTCTTTGTTAGAGTATCAATAACCTAGATCTTTCTTACCTCACACATTTCACTCCGGGAAGTCCTTGGCATCCACAGCTGCACTTGGGGCACGGAACAATGGTGCTACTGTAGAACGCGGACAAGGAAACACAGCACTTTGGAGAAGGTGATGCTCTGATCAGGGAGTAGATACAGGTCACATTCCATGTCTCTGCAATAAAACCACATCAAACATGTTACACAAATAAAATTAACTCTCACTAAACCCTAAAACATTTCACAAATAGCCAAGTGCTTCTAGTTTATTATGGAACTGAAAATGCTTTTTGAAAAAAAAAAAAAAATTGCTTCTCCAAGAAGCGTTTCAAAGTGCTTTCGTCACCCTAAAAACATTTGCCTAAACTTTGCGAAACCTTATTTTAGTTATCCAGCCAATACCCCAGAAATGCTTTAATTAGTGCTTCTGTCACTGTAAGAAGCACTTTTGCGTCCAAACTTCGTAAGAAAGTAATTCTAGTTATCTAATACACCAAGACGTTCTTTTGTAGCCATAAAAATTTTAACAGACGCTTTTATCTACTTCTTGCAAACCTTTTGTAATAAACGCTCTAAGTTATATGAGAGCTATATACTAAGTGAAAGTTTTGAATGCTCACCGAGTACTTGCTTCCATCGACGGCCATCATGACTAAACTTTGTCGGTTGGACTTGGAATGGCATGCCGCAGGTGTAACCAGGGAGTCCAAGGGTGAAATTGGTGGGCATAACTATGTCTTTCCCGGCAAAGGATCCGACGCTCATCGCAAAAGAAGATCCGAACTTGGAAGAGTCTTGGATCATGGAAGAGAGCTCTCCTCCCTTGCAGCAATTGAAGTACTGCTTGTTGAAAGGGGCTCCGGGCAACAAATCGATAATCACCGGCTTCTTTTTACAGCAATGAGGAAGGTCTGGTGAACCTTTGAACTTGGAGCAGTTTCCTTGCTCAGTGGCCTCAGCTCCCCACATGTCCCATATCACTTCATCACCTTTCCATGTCCAACCCAACTTCCAACCGGGCCGGTCCACGTGGCGAAACTGCTGGAAGTTGTATATCGATACTTTAATCTGAAATAATAATTTTCAAAAGAAAAATGTTGTAAATATTCTTCATACGGATGCTCAGTTTAAATCTCCTTAACCAAACCCAGTAGAAAGGATTCTGTTTTGCAATTATCTGCAATAATTAGGTGGTTTTTTAATTGCCCAACATCGGTTTGAGACCTCCCTCACTACAAGAAAAGATGTCAAATATTTATCGTGACGAAACAACAAATGGTCATTAAAATTATCTCAGTAAATGCAACCTTTGTCAACGTCCACATATCGCAAATGCCACATAATTGTCGTGGAAGCCCTACTAACAGTGGGAGCTTTACTCACCCGCACATTTTTTTTCATGTGTGAACTGTTAAAAATAACCAAAATCCAAAGCAATAAAATATTTCTTCATATATTCTTTTTTTTTTTTTTAATCAAGAATACTTCACGAGAGATTAAGTGTATATGTATGTTAAAAACTCCCTGGTCCTGTGGGGCGATTTGGAAATTCAGGTCACAAAATACAGGATCTAGACAAATATCTCAAGTGACGGACTGCAAGTTTTCTCTTCTGGCAATGCAGTGCAATGAAATGAAATAACAAAAACTCACGTACGTACGTCGGATGAGCTTCCACTTTGCTGCAGAAAATCCCATCTGACTGTTATGTTGGCATATGGATCTAATGGATCATACCCATCTGCATCATATATTATCACCAAAATTTCAACAAAGGAATTAAACAAAAATCTTAGAGAGAGAGAGAGAGAGAGAGAGAGAGGTAGCTAGTTACTTACATGATAATCCGAAGGAGTTGATGAGAGAGAAGATGAAAACCAAGAGCAGGTTCATCTTTTCTCCAAATTCAAAATCTCCAAATTGAACTGCACTGGTATATATCCAGACACATGAGAGAGATTATATTCTCAAAGGAAACTGTTATTGGCACTTTAAAAATTTTATTCTACAGTCCTCACAAGTGTATTTTTCTTTCCTAATATAGAAAGTTTAGAGTGTGGACTGATTTTTGGAGTATTAATAACAATTCCCTTCTCAAAAAGCTAATTAATCTTTTTTTTCGTATGTAATTTGTTATTAGTGTGAGATAACGCAGATGACGATGATCAATTTCTAAATTAGTAACTCAGTCACAGTCACTAGTGCTGGATCACTGCTGTATATTGCAATATGAAGTACCATTCTTGGTTTTCGGCACATTGAAAAATCTTTCATTGCGATATAGAGAGATTTTTCAGTATGTTTGGAACACGGGATGGTATATCACGTGTCACTATATAAGTAATGAGATATTTATGTTAAAAAATTAACAACTTAAAAAATAATACTTTCCTCCACTTATATAATGATACGTGGTCTACTACCCGTGTTCTGAGCATAATAAAAAATTTCTCATGCGATGTATAGCTAGCTAACTCTTTGACCCCATTAATTAAAAATTAATAATTAAGTAAGATTCCTCTATTTATACACATCATGTTTTTAATTAATTGATGAAACTTGAACTAAATAAGCAAGCTTGCTACACAGCACTATACATATTTGTTTGTATTTTTTACCCAAATATAAAATATGCTCCACCAGTCAGTGCATTATTGGGCTATCTAGTTAGGGGACCTTATTAGGGTTTAGGGTAAAAATTATTTAGACAAGAAAAGAAATTTATCAAATAATAATGATGGAATTGGAACCTGAATATATGTAGGATCCTTACTTGTGTCTTTTGGTGCTCCATGTTTTGTAGGTGTATTCAAAGTTACATCTGAGTTACTTAGTACTATGGTCGAGTGATATTCTTCTTTACTTGTAAGTGAAAAGTTTTAGATTCGATTCTTCTCAAAAACAAATTTGAAACACATTATTGTTGGCCCGCTATGGCTTAGTCCACTCCCTCACCCCTTAATGTAGATAATATCGTTCACTAAAAAAAAGTCCAAATAAATAAAAATTTTGAGTTTAAAAGTTATTGCCCACACCAACTAGAAAGAAAATATGTCATTCTGACAAGAAAACTATGATCTATATTATGATTACAATCATCTTCGGTTCACGTGCTCAAGAATTTGGTACTCAGTATAATCATCATCTGATGGTCAGATATGATGTAGTAACATCTAATAACCAAATTTGACCGTCAAATATTGATTGTACAACATACTTATAAGAATTGTAGCCAGTTCACACTAAATAAACCAAATTAGAACTTTCACATTTAAGTATGTCCATTGGACCATGAAACAAAAAACTCGATGCAGACAGACCTTCAGTGCACATACCACAGATGTCAATTGTCAGTTGACATAGATTTCTTTTCGTGTCTAGAATTGGAGGACTTACATGGAAATGCCCCAGCGGCATGTAATGTCTCTTGTCCAATAACACATTCCCATGCCCAAGTTTTTTTTCCACATAGTAATGTATTAGGACGCCATACAATGGTAAACCTATTTTATGTAAATTGCTTTCTCAAAATTGATGTAGGTCATAGTTTGATGCAAGGACAAAAAACACAACGCACTAACACATTCGTAAAAATATATGAAAATTGTTTCTATTATTTTTTAGGGGGCAACCACATGAAAAATAAGCCTGAAAATAAAAGAAATTTCCAGATTCAAATTTAACGAAAATATAACATAAAGGGTTATAAGCTTCACCAGATTTCAGAGACTAGAAAAACAAAATTCATGAGAAAATCAGCATAGAAACAAATATCCAAGTACCATCCCTATGTTCATTCCATGTTTGCAACCATTTTAGAGACAAGGTTGCTCATGTCAAGAGAACACGCTAACGTCGTTATCGATGCTTATACGCAGATATATAGGTATATCTAGTGAACCCCACAGTGCCCTGGAAGCACAAACAATATGTGCAAAAATTTAAGAAGAAATTTATACAGATATGGAAATAGTGAGTCTCAGTTTTTGATGAATTCCTGTCACGGGCTTCAGGTTAACTCAGTTCATCCCTGAGATGGAGCGAATATCGGCAATCCTGGTTTTGACAGAAGGTATTAGATGGGACATTACATTATATTATATTGCTTGCAAACACGGAGAATATGATAATCCACGAAAAAACAAAACAATAAAATTGCAAGAACGATAAAAGAAATGATACCTTTAAGGATCATTGATGCCGACGTCTTTTGACATTGTCCTCAGAAAATGACTGCCAGTTATTGTGATCAAGGTTGCTCAAGTCATCAAGTTCTGCAATGGCAAGCAAGTATGTTGTGAGCTTCAAGAGCTCCTGATCACTGTCTCGGCTAGAATGGGCCTTCTTGAATGGCTTGATGATCAAACCATTTTGGGGGTTCATCACAAAGTTTCTTCGCAGATCATCAAACATTATGGTGTTTTTTGAACTGTAGAACTGAGTATAACAAGAAATTGCTAGTCATCAGTCAACTGAAAGTTAGACAGCAAATGAAATGCATACCAGACATTGAAATTTAACCCGTCCCAAACTAACTACTATTACTAAAAAGACAAAATCATTACCATGTCTGAGACTCTTAAAATGATGGTATTCCATCCAGAAAATTTGAAAACAATTTTAAAAAATCCCCCTGTAAGTCGTAATGGGGAAATTTATAAATGATAGTATTTATCTTCATATGATATGCAAAGGAGATAGCAAACTCTCAACATCATTCAGAATTTATAAAGAAATAAAAGGGAAAATGAGCAAAAAACGATGGTTAACAAGTACATTGTTCCATACCTCAGGGAACTTAGCCCAAATCAAGCCTAATGGCTTGCAATCAAAGGTTCCACGAGACTCGCATTGAACTGTGATCATTGCCATATGGTCTAGAAGAGCTGTGATTTTGTAGTTGGGATTGCTGAGCACTCCAAGCTGACTCATCTTCAATTCAACCCATTTCATGCTGTAGAAATGAAACATATATGAATTACTACACAGGTGCACATAACCCAATTTGTTTACTGAACTTAATATAAAGCCCATAGTTATTATTATCATCACAATTCCCTGTAATCTACAATCAGAAAAAGAAATTTGAAGCTCTAGACTTGCTAGTCTACTTAATCTTTCACATATGCCATCAGGCCCATCACACAAAACAAAGATGGGAAGAAGACAAAAGGATTGATGCATATTCACTTCAACTTGAACTTAACTCTTTTGTATGTAAGGCGAAAAAAACCCTAAATTTGTAAAGAGTCATTTACTTTCTGAAAGAGTTGATACTTGAGTAATGAAAAGAAATATACAGAAGATCTCTCAAATTCATTACACTTTTCAACATAAACATCTTCTCTAACACACATATTTAGCATAACCTCTTCAAAATCTGTAGTCCAAACTTAACGTCTAGCAACATAACATAGTAGACCTTACTATAACAGATTAGATCTCATCTACTTTGATGCTAACACATTATTGATTTTAGGGAGTTCTAACGAAAAGCCCACGGTACTGTTCACTTTAACGAAAAACCACATTTTTACACTAAAAAGTTAAACCTGGTACTATTCATTTTACCCTTTGTTTTGTCCTTATTATTAAAACTCAAAGTTTTGAAACCCTTTTCATTAGTTTTCCTTTGATTCTACATATGCAGTTTCTTTTACTCGTGATTCAAACAATTCATCTGACAAGAGATAATAGAAAAAAGGAAGGTAATATACCAATTTCAAAGAAATTTCTGTCAAAGAACAGAAAAGAATAGAAAGAAAAAGGCAAAATCAATTCAACAAGATTGAAACGAAACGATCCCATTTCAAAATTGAATTCAATTTTATAATGATTGAATTTGGGTAAATGGCTATATTAGTATCCATGCTGAAATCGAGGTGTTTAATTGCTTCAATTGAAGCCATGGAAATCTATGTGCGAGTAACTATAAATGAGAGTTTATTACAGGATACGGAAACATCCAAACAATGCACATCCAATGCTATACAACAGTCGCCTAAGCACGTTTAGAAAATGAGCATGATACTTAATAACACTGAAACAAAAGGGGGAATATATCTTTGTTATAAAATTCTCTTAGCATTGCATTTTGTAATTGACAACTTACCTAGTTGCAGACCATATCATGATGTCATATTCCGAATAAGCAGCTGTAAGAAACTCGTGAAGAACTACAAAACACAATGTGTGTAAAGTCAAATGAAAGACACACATGAAGACTCTTGAAAAGTAGAAATTTCATATGAAGAAGGAACAACTGACAAGGCCGCATAAGTTGAAGCGGGTTCTCTGCTGTGGACCGGTGATCAAACAGAGTATAATCAATATCCAGCACAAGCAGTTTCTTTCCTTCCCGGCAAGGATTTCGAAGTTCAATCTACAATCCAATTCACACAATAAAAAAATACATAAAAACAAAGCAGTAATCACATTCATCTGCAATCAAAAGTGAAAGACGGAAACTGCTTAACCTTATATTGATCGACACGCCTCCTCAACTTATTGGCAAACTTATCTTTAATCTCAACAGCTTCATCTTGGGCAATCTCAAAATCGTCAACAATCTCTGGAGACTCCACCGGATCCACTATAATATCATCCTCCATGGTACTGATTCAATTCCATTCCAGAAACATTTTATCAGACACTTGGTGTGCATAAATATAGAGGCATTTAAACATGGGCAAATGATAGACGGAGACTTACCCGATCATGGTCATCTTTTGGGAGGGCTTGAAGGGAAGAGAGGAGAGCAAAACGGTGTCGTCGGCGAGCTTGGATGGGAGGAGTTTTGGGTAGAGAAGCTTTTGACGTTTGGGCAAGACGGTGGTGAGTTGGCAGATGCGGCGTTTCAGCTCGCCCACCGTGTCGTCGCCGCACACTCGAACGGTGTACTCCTTTCCGCTCCACTTCACCGTCAGCGTTATCTCCTCTTCTGGCGACGATGGCGTTGAGGTTGAGGCTGCGCCTGCACCTGCTACTCCTGCCATTGCACCAACAAATTGCTTTCTCTCTCCTGAGGTTTTAAGTCTAGAGAGAGAGGCAGCAGCAGAAGCTACTTTTCTTCTTTTTATATATATTCTGATTTTTTTTCATTTTCCATTTTCATTCTCTTGACTTTCAATCAAATTTTGAGCCCAACCCAACTCACGATATTTATGGATGAAACGAATTTAGTGTCACTGAAATATTAAATTTACCTTCCAAATTGGTGCTTTTGGAATAAAGTATATAAATATTTTTTTCATAATTCGTTTGTATTTTTATTAAGAATTGGTTCTAAAATTATTCTCATAAAAACATTTTCAGTCATTTTGAAAGCGGGTAATGCTAGAAAGATTGAATTTGTAGACAAAATTTGCAAACTAAATGATGTGTCACCAATAAAGATGAGCACATTTATCATCGCTTAAGTAATAATCCAATCGTTAGCTTCCATATCATTTAATTTATAATTAGTTTACAAATTTAGTCTCTTTAGCATTACCTTTTAAAAACACTTCAAAACGAGGGATATGAAATTAATGTAAATTGTTGATTTGTCATTAAATTGGGTTAGTGCATTTTACACCTTTCAAGTTTGAAATGATTCTCAAAATGGGGCACATGTCTCAAATTACTCATATTGCACCTTAAAATATTAAAATTGTATTAATATGTGTCTTTAATTTGATTATTTGTATGGCAAATATTAAATTGATGACGCGATGAGTTTGAAACTCTTGTATAAGCTAACATGTGAGTTGCATTTGCACACATTGACAAAAAACTCATCAATTTATTGGATGATTAGAGGTTTAAAGAGACAAAAGAAAAAAAATTGATATACTTTTAAAATCCCATGATGTAACATGAGAAAATTGAATTGGATGATTAGAGGTTCAAAGAGACAAAAGAAAAAAATTTGATATACTTTTAAAATCCCATGACGTAACATGAGAAAATTGAAATCTCATAGCCCATTTTTAAAATCACCTCAAACTTGAAGGTGTAAAATGTAGTTAACCCTTTTTATTTGAGTGAAATTACATCTCTAAATTGTTTTTGAAGAAAGAAAAAAAACATCTTTAAATTATTAATAACTGTCAATTTTCTCCATTTTGCAAGTATTACATTCAAACTTTCATCAACTGAAATCACGTTACTTGAACGTAACACACTTTAAAATGTTCTACTGTCATTTACTCACCTACGAGCGCTTAACATTGATTAGACTTTAAATTCTATCAATTTCCCCCCTAAAGTTAACTCCTTAGAGTGTTTTTTCCAAAATAGCAAGTCCTTAAATTCATTAAAAAAATGTCAATCTACCCTCCAAAATGTCTTGCACAAGTCGCTTGACTTAAATTTACAAAACATTTAATAAAATAACTTCGACTCTTATACTACGGAGAAAAATTATAGTTTATAATGAATTCAAGAGCTTATTTTATCAAAAATAGTAATCTATGGACTTGATTTCCAAACTGAATAGTAATGTATGGACAAATGCCTAATCAGTAATCACAGTGCCCCTTCCAAAGGGAAGATAACACAAAACGAAACAAAAAAAATGGCAGTAGGGTGGGTTACATACAAAGTGCCTCCAACTCCATTTTTAGAAGAAGAAAATTGACGAACAAGGAAACAAAGAAAAAAGAGCCTCCGCGCATATCTACTATCTAGCTTCGTCCTCTGTTTCCTCATCATCGTCGCCATTGTTGTCACCACACCTCCAACCAGCTTCAACATTGTCATGGTCCTCCTCTGTTTCTTCACTTTCTTAACATTTCTTCACTGTCCTCTTCTGTTTCTTCACTTCCAGTTAGGTCTGAGCATGTTTTGCAGGCTCTTGACATTCACACGTTTTCCGGCATAGGCATCTTGATCACTGGCTTCATCGATCTCATTGCGAGTAACATCAAACACATGGCCAGGATGCACTGCCCTATAATGCCGCTTAAGCTTGTCTTCATGGATGTACGTCTTATTACACCCGTCATAAATGCAAGCATAAGAAAGATCCGATGATGCTTTGCCACAAGGAGGCTTGGGAGTTCTGATTTGCTTCTCTGCAGGTAGGGTGGCATATTTTGGCACACAAACTGGCTCGTCGATCTGTAAAATCAGCGTCAATATTGAGAATCAAGTCATACTTCCCATGTTAAGAAAGTCCAGAAAAATAGATGTATGACACGCTATTCTTTATCATAATAAAGGTATAAAACATTCACACGCTATTCTGTACCAAAAACAAATGAAGACAACTTCAAATATTTCATAAACAATAAAAGTGAGGCAGGAATAACAAACCGTTTCATGGTAATCTACAATGTGGTTTTTAAGCTTGTACTCATATGGATATCTCCTTAGGCAGTTTGGGTATGGACAGTTATAATAGTTCTCTGCTGAATGTGTTTTCATGTGGTACAAAAGGAAGTATTCCTGGGAGAAGGCCTGCACAAGTCATATTCGAAATTGATTATAACACAGCAAAATCTGTTATGCATGTTAAACAACCACAAATAAAGGAAATTTATGAAGCCCGAAAAAGACATCAAATTTATGAAAAGAACAGAATGGTTCAAGTAAACAGCTAGGATGATACTACTGATATAGTGGCAGTTTTTCGGCTTGATTGGATGTGTAAAATTTAAATACTGGTATCACAATAATCATTATCTTAAGCAGCCTTCGTTAAGGATGGCCAAAACTGCAATTCATTACCAGATTCTATTTTCCTTTAAGTAGGGTTCTAAAATCCAGTATCAAATGTGAAGAGTGGCAATTCAAAACCTACCCACTTGTAGGGTCTCGTCTAGCCTATATTAGACATACAACTCTGATTCATTCCAAAACGGAATGTGAGCTACACATATTGAACTAATAAAAAATAAACAGAAGTTTCACCAGATATCATTGGTACGTTGAGGATATGTTTGACATTCAAATTACTTTGCCAGTGTGCACAGGAAACTAACTTAACATAGCAGGGAAGAAGATAAATTGCGTCCTTCAAACAGATATTGTAATTGTATAGTTCGTTGTGTGTGTTGTTTTGGGTGGGAGGGTTTGAAATACAGCTAAACCGTTAAAACTTCAACATTAGATGGCAAGAGAACTTGAAAGAAAACATTTTAGTAATGGATAAGATGATACCTTGCCACAGCCTTCACGAGGACATACATAATCCTTTTCTTCGGAATGAATAAGAAAGTGTCTTTCCATCTTTGAACTATCCAAAAATTTCTGTAACATTCAAAATATTATTTTTCAAAGTCAACTAAGAATAAGAAACTCTGCTGGAATATCAGATATATCCTTGCTTTAAAAGTACCCACAGTAGTGCAACATGAAACTATAGGAATTGCACATTTGGGACTGAACAAGACTTACAAATGCCAGGAAAAAATTATTAGACATAAACAAAATCTTTCTTCTCGTTTTTTGCTTTTGGTTTTACCAAATTAAGAAACTGACGACTCTTCTCCATTTCTTTTGACATGATAGTAACTTGCTGTCTCAATCCCATAGCTTACTCTATCTGGAAACAATACCTTTCCACAACCCTCATACAGACAAACATGTTGTATCTCCGCATGGATGTCAGCATGCTTCCTCAAAGCACCAGCATCAATAAAGATCTTCCCACAGCTGTCATAGCTGCAAAGAAAAAGTACTTTGTTTGTTGGTTCTGGCTCTGGAGCCATTGTTTTCTTTGATTTCTCATCCAAAGCCTCTGATGTATCCGCTAACAAAAACAGAAAATGAGAAAAATCAGTCCAAACTCATGTCATAGGAACAAAGACATACAACAGAACATGCTCGCCCATCATGTTAATCCAACATGGCTCTCTTAAGCCTGAACTCATTAGTGATTCATTAAGTCTTAGGCTAATTGTAAAACTAATGTGTTTATAAATCTAATGCATCGCTTAAATGACACATCAAGAATTTAATAACTATTAAATCAGATGTTGGGCAGCGGAATTTAATAGCTTCGCGGAAGCAAAAACACTGAAAACATAAACTTAAACAATTCTTGGCCTCTCCAGGGGCATCACACCCATTCTTGGCCTCTCACCAAGAAGTTTGGCATCTCACCAAAACAATCCCATCGCAGGATAAGAATTCCAATCTCTGGAAAACCAAACTTTTCTATTCATCAACTCTTCATTCATTCAATCTGAATTACAACGGGGGTATTTTTAATGGCTTATACCTAAAGAACGCAGGAAAGTAAACGCAGCGGAAAGAAATCCTAATCCAAAAATACAATAGAAAACCAAATCTAATCCGAAATACAATTGGAAAGAATTAAACCTTATAAAATAGGAAAACAAAATACTAAAACCCCAGAGAATAAGAGACAAAAAACCCTTTGATTAGCATCTTCCACTTTGGTTCCGCATTTAAGTACGACCTAGAAAACACTTCAGAAGTCAAACCATAAACTTACAAAAGCAGAAGGATCTCAGTTAAGACATCCCACTGAATTTGAAGAAATATCAACTTGGGAGAGTAAAGCGAGTGACAGTGCTTAACGTAAGTATTGGCTCTGACCGAACAAGAGCACTAGTGTATACCATGATGCAAATAAATGGCCTTGATGTACATTTTAATGGCCTACTAATCATGTAATACTAATATTACATACAAAATTACAAATCAAAGGAAATAAAAAAAAATTGAGTAGATAAGACTTCCATGATGAATTACATAAGTCATAGCTTGAATAGCATGCAGAACTCACACATCAAACCGAAGGCAATACTAATTCCATATCTTTATCTCTTTTTTCTTTTTTCTGTTTCTTTAAATTCATAAACACTTACCAATCCAGAATCCTTCTCATTCATATAACTCATACTACAAAATAAAGTGGTTTAGAAGTATTTTCAGGAATCACCGTACAGAACATGGTAGGGAAGAAGTACCTTTCACCCACTTCATTAGAGAGCACTCTCCACCTGTTGCTATGACATCTTGTGGAACCCTGACCACGAGTTTGTATCAAGCCATTAGCCAAAGGTAGGTCAAATACTTTCAAATTATCAAAGTGCAGCTATCTTCTTTCTTTTGTTATGAGAGTAATGCTTCGTACATAAGGTCCTACAAGACCCTGACACTGTTGCTGGAAGCTTATTTCTAGACAAATAGTTCTTCAATCTTTTTTTTTAGGCGAATAGTTCTTGAATCTTAATCACCACATAAAAGAGAAAATCTTCAGATACGATAAAATTGGTCGTTTTTTTTTCTTCACTTTCGTGTTCCTAAACATTAAATGAACATAAAATTAGGCCATTTAACTCAGCTGTGCAGTAACCAAATCTTCAAACTGACATATTATGTTCTCTTTCGTTTTGAAATTGCTAAACAAAAACTTGACTTTCAAATTATCAAAGAAACCAATGCACCCTTCTCACTTCTTACCAACAATCAACACCTGCAACTGAGTCCCATAAAAGTACCTAACTTTACTTCGACTGTAAATCGAAACCATAAACGCAAGAATCGAAGGGACAATTCAGAGACTATGAAAACTGAAATTGCACTAACATTCAAAACCCAGGAAGTCGAAAAGATTGTGCTTGCAATTCGTCGTCTAAATTAATCGGAGATGAAAGTTAAATCATCAAATTAGAAATGAAAGAAAAGGGAAAATAGATACCATTCTTTGAACCATTTGACAGGGAGAGTCTTGGATCGGAAGGTTGGGCGCCTCTCGGAGGAATTGTGATGGAATTGGGACTCCATCTCATTCTTCTTCTTCTTCTTCTATTCGTCGTCTTTATTAGGATTCCACGCTTAGGAATTGGGGGTTAGGGTTAGGGCAAGAATTAGGGTTTGGTAATAGGGAGAGATCGTTACGGAAATTAAGGTTCAGGTTTTAGCAGCTCCGGTTCTGTCGGTTCATCACTTGACGTCTGTTTGGCGGGAGTTGCCAAAATTTAGGAATTTTTTAATTTATAGCTGAAAATTCACTCAAATTCTTTAACAAATTCATAAATATTATTATTTTTTATAAAACAATGTAAATGTAGGAAACAAATTCACTCAAATAGACCGAGCTAGCCTTAAAATTAAAACCTAATTGCACTCAAAAGTGAAATCTAATTAATCATTTCATCACTGAGTTTTTATTATTTATAGTCAAAATTTAGTACACAAATTCACAAATATTAATTTTTACAAACAATACAAACATAGCTAAAAATTTATTTAAATAGACCGAACTAGCCTCAATTAAACCTAATTACACCTAAAACCAAAATCGGATATCATTGCTGAGTTTTTATCATTTATAACCAAATTTTAACAAACAAATCATAAATATTTATTTTTATAAAACAATTCAAATATAGCTTAAAATCCACTTAAATAAACCGAAATACCCTCAAAGTTAAAACCTAATTACACCTAAAACTAGAATCTAATTAAGCATCGTTGTTCCCCAGTATCATTGCTGCCATAATGGGGTCCAAAAGCAGCATCCAGCTTGCTTAGACTTTGAATTTGAATTGTCACATATATACAATTCTAATTATGCTCATCTTCCAACGCACTTTTCTGGGGAGAATGGTGATTTGCTGCTAAGACCTTCCTCCATCTCCTTTTTTTTCTTTCTTTTTTTGTCTTAACAGGTCCGTATAAAATTGCTTCTAGAATTATCAACGACCTCTACAAGATCGTGGAGCGGTGGTGACGACAGATAGATCTGTAAACGGGTCGGATTTATTGGGTAATCTGAACCGTTAAGTTAACGGGTCATCCAAACCCGACCAGTTAAGTTAACAGGTCACTTGTTTCACCTGTTAACAATTATTATTATTATTTTTTGCATAGAGTTTATTTTTTTGTTGTTAAGACTTGACTGAAATTACTAAAACATTCTCAACTAACGGGTGCTAACGGATTGATCCAAAGTGACCCGTTATTTAACAGGTTCATCCGTTAGCGACCCAACACGTTAAGCATCCATCAAAATACAAATATTAACAAGTCGGATCCAAAATGCCAGATCTAACAATAGGGTTCGACAAGAGTGGTCCACATTAGTTGTTGGAGAGAGTTTGTAGAAGAAAGCTTGTCGAGGTTAAAGTTGCAGAAGTTGAACCCAGGTATCGATGAGGTTTAGAAGAAGCCATGTAAAGAGCTCGAGGAAGAACTTGAGCGGTTGATCAAATATGCGAAATTCATGCTTCGAATTTTAGGCCCTTTTTTGTTATTTAATTTTGTAACTGAATTTGTGTTTGGAATGGTGGAAGACAATGCTTGCATCTCTTGGAAACTTAGAAGACAATTAATAGGAAAATAGAACTACAAAGATAAGATAGTCTGAATCCAAATACAAAAGCAGAACTAGAAATGGAGACTGAAACACAGAGTCTAAATTCAAATATAGAAGATAAACCATAAACGAACACTACAACACAACGTCTAAATCCAAATGTAAAATACAAAATTAGACACTGCAACACAACATCAGAATTCACTCAGCACAAATGCCGATCTGCACCAAACAAAACTGATGGGTAATGCTAGGAAGACGAAATTCGAAGACAAAACTTTGTAAACTAAATTACATGAAAGTTGATAATTGAATTATTACTTAAACGTTGATAAATATGTTCATTCCTATAAGTGACACATGTTTACAAATTTAATCTCCCTATTATTACTCAAAATTAATATATAATTGGCAATATATTATTTTAAAAGAAAGGAGAAAAATAAAAAGAAGAGCATTGCCAATTTGCCATCAGCATGGAATGACAGGCACCGAGAAAAGAACATCGTGATATTCTCTGCCCACCGAATGTTTGGGAATCTTCTATTTGCACTTTACATTGGAGTGCATGCCCGGCAGGTTTTCTAAACCTTCAATACATACACACATGGAAAGACTCACCCGCCCGAGTTGCTTACTCAACGAGTGGGAGCGAGTCAACTCACCCGGTAAACCATGTCAACCTTTCCTCCTATTCCATCTCAGCATCAGCCAATACCTGCCACAGCAATAGCTTTCCACTTGGGACACGAACACCATCATCACTTTGTTCTAGTACTGTTGCACATTTTTCCTGCTGCAAATTTTTTGCCAACTTTTTCTTCCTCCTCATGAGTACCAAGTTCCTCAACATATTGATCCAAATCGGTAACCTAACTCGTTCGATAACAGAATTTTCCATCTCCCTAACAATCTCTCCGATCGTCGGACGATTTTCTACATTGGACGATACACAACTTGCTGCAACATATAAAATGTGCCTTATTGTGCTTGACATGTATACGGGAACCCCTATCCTTGCATCACAAATCTCATCGATTCGCTCTTCTTCGATTAATGCAACTGCCCAGTCCACTATCGAAGCGGGTGACTTATAAACATCGATGACTTTTCTGCAGCTAATGATCTCAAGCAACACAACACCAAAACTAAACATATCACTTTTGGTGCTTAATTTGCTAGGAGTGGTGTAACAAGGGTCCAAATATCCAATAGTTCCTGCAGCGGGTTGACTCACTTGACTCGGCAAATCAAACAGCACGGCAAGTCCAAAATCCGCCAACTTGGCATTCCAATCTGAATCGAACAAAATATTTTCAGACTTGATGTCCCTGTGGATCACCGTAGGCTTCCCTTCGTGAAGAAATTGGACCGCCCGGGCAACTTGGATGGCGATTTCTACACGTTTAGGCCACGAAGGCGGTGTAGGTGCAACATGAAGTAGGTCATGGAGAGAGCCATTGGGCATGAACTCCATGACAATGAGCTTGTTGATGCTGTTCGAGTGAACTTGGCTTGTTCCAAGAAGGCTTATAACATGCCGGTTCTTGGGTAAGGACGATAACACACATATTTCGTTTTCGAGCTTGGAGCAGTTGTCACGATGTTGCAATGGCTTCTTTAGGGCAACAATTTTGTTGAGTAGCATGGCTTTGTAGACCATTCCATGGCTGCCTTTGCCGACCAGCCAAGTCGGAGAGAAGCTTCCTGTTGCGTTCACAAGCTCATCATAATCAAAGTTCACCATTTAACCAAGAAATCTGGTACCCTGCAAAATATAGGGTTTTATTGTTTGATGATGATGAAGTTGATGGGGGATTGAAGGTGTATATTGGTGAGAGTTGGTCGGAGGAAAAACTGGAAGTGCTTTTGGAGATGCCAGCAAATAAAGCGGCTGTGGGGAGACGTCAAAAGAAGAACTAGTAAATAGAAAAGAAAGAGTAATTGAGAAAAGGAAAAGGTAGTAAGTAGTGCTACTGAGAAAAAGAAAAGGGATTCTGACGAGGGATATGAGATATCGATGCTCCATTTGAAATTTTTAGAATTTTAGATGCTGGTTGGCTTGCCCGGTCGTTTTTGGGGTCCCCCCCCCCCCCTTAACACCGTTTTGATATTCGAGTAAAATTCTCCCTCCTCTAATTCCCTTCCCTGCCCTCCTCTCTCGTTTTCTTTTTTTTGTCTCTCTCCTTATAAAGAAGTCATCACAAGATGTTAACGTGACTCAACCGTAACCGTTCAAATAGGAGAAGAGAAAAGGCGAGTGAAATTTAGAGGGGAGAGAATGAGAAAAGGCGAGTGAAATTTAGAGGGGAGATAATCATACTCCTTTGATATATCTAATTTGAATTTGAATCTATTTTTTTAGGGAATAATACTTGCATCCCTAATGACGAAAGTGCACATATTCCACTATGTGTAAATAACATATCTAAGGTTGTTTTGTTTGTAATCAAAAGATTACAGGTTAGAGTCGTAGAAACAACACTTTTTAAAGTAAGAATAAAGCGGTATACGATGGATGTTTTTCGACCCTCACAAAGTAAGTAACCTTATTGGCTTGGGTCTCCCCCATATACTCGGTTCAGAAATCCAACCATTTCGTAAAGTGGACACAGATCGACGGGGAAATAATGCAACTATCTCTCCACCAAAGTTTTGGCAACATAAGTATGCAAGATTCTGACATGAATGTAAGACTTTGGGTTCATACTTTCTTAATAGATATGAGAAACAATATTTTCAAAAGTTAACAACAAATAAAAGGTAAAGATAGTACTATTCTGAGAACAATCCATCATCACGCGCATCCAATTGGCTATCAAAACCAATATCTTAAAAGATTAAAAAGAAATAAAAGTCATCACATAAAAATAAAGAGTTGCATGGACTACCAAGTGAACTAAGAAGAGACCGTTTCTGACCCTCGATCTATGATAAAATCATTCTTCGAGCGGATTGAGCACGTGACCAATGAACTGAACCGTTCCAGTCATTTCCTCTCTGATCAAAAACAGGAATGGGTGATCAGCCACAAAGTGTATCCGTTTAATCGGTTCAAATGGCTCAGCACAACCACACTCCTCGGCAAAAACAGAAACAGCCGCAGCTTTTGTGCCTTCTTCATCAACCTCAATGAAGGATTTATGAATTATATTGGCCTCGCGAAGAGGTGAGTCCACCATCTCACTCAAATCACCATTCCCATTGAAAGGCAGCACCAGTCCTAAATCCTCGAGGATTTTGGAAGCTTTAAAGCCAGAGGTAAACTTAAACCTTGGGATTTTGAAGGCACCAACTTCGACTCTTGTTTTGGGGAGATGGCGATCTAAGAAACCAGGCTCGGAGCAAACTCTGTCGACCAAAGCTGGGAGCCCATCTCTTTCATTAGGAAGTAAAAAGTACATCGAAAACTGCCGCTCCTTGTCTTTTCCTGGTTCATACTCAAGCTTTGCGACCTTGAAGCTGTCAAAGGCTCTTACATACTGGTCCTCGTAGCTTCTGCACATGAACGGCGCCAGGACTGTAGTACCATCGAGAAGGTAAAAGTTCTGCTTGAATGTCATTGATGCATTAAACCGGTCGTTCCAAACTCCTTTGAAGTACAAGGCATTTACAATTATAAGCTTGGAGTCGCTTTTAACTGTCCCAGGAAGAAGAACCTCAGTGATGAGGCCGTTCGTCTCCTTTTCAACCCATGAATTCACTTCAACTCTCGCTTTGTCAGGGTCAGTCTTGATACTGACTTGTTTAATCGCTGCCTTGTAAACAGTGTCCACAACCTCCTTGAAAGATGGTTTGATAGAGAGAGACTCCTCAACCCAGAGGGCATTGGCAAATTTGAGGCAAGGACCGCCTCTAGCGGATCCGTCTGCTAAGACCAACGTAAAATTCTCCATCCTCTAATTCCCTTCCCTGCCCTCCTCTCTCATTTTCTTTTTTTGTCTCTCTCCTTATAAAGAAGTATCACAAGATGTTAATGTGACTCAATCGTAACCGTTCAAATAGGAGAAGAGAAAAGGCGAGTGAAATTTAGAGGAGAGAGAAGGAGAAAATGCGAGTGAAATTTAGAGGAGAGAGAATCATACTCCTTTGTTATATCTAATTTGAATTTGAATCTATTTTTTTAGGGAATAATACTTGCATCTCTAACGATGAAAGTGCACATATTCCACTACGTGTAAATAACGTATCTAAGGTTGTTTCGTTTGTAACCAAAAGGTTACGGATTCGAGTCGTAGAAACAACATTTTTTTAAAGTAAGGATAAAGCTGTATACGATAAACGTTTTTCGACCCTCACAAAGCGAGTAACCTTATTGGCTTGGGTCTCCCCCATACACTCGGTTCAGAAATCCAACCATTTCGTAAAGTGGACACAGATCGACGGGGAAATAATGCAACTATCTCTCCACCAAAGTTTTGGCAACATAAGCATTCAAGATTATGACATGAATGTAAGACTTTGGGTTCACACTTTCTTAATAGACATGAGAAACAATATTTTCAAAAGTCAACAACAAATAAAAAGTAAAGATAGTACTAATGTGAGAACAATCATCATCACGCGCATCCAATTGGCTATCAAAACCAATATCTTAAAAGATTAAAAAGAAATAGAAGTTATCACATAAAAACAAAGAGTCGCATGGACTACCAAGAGAACTAAGAAAAGACCGTTTCTGACCCTCGATCTATGATAAAATCATTCTTCGAACGGATTGAGCACGTGACCAATCAACTGAACCGTTCCAGTCATTTCCTCTCTGATCAAAAACAGGAATGGGTGATCAGCCACAAAGTGTATCCGTTTAATCGGTTCAAATGGCTCAGCACAACCACACTCCTCGGCAAAAACAGAAACAGCCGCAGCTTTTGTGCCTTCTTCATCAACCTCAATGAAGGATTTGTGAATTATATTGGCCTCGTGAAGAGGTGAGTCCACCATCTCACTCAAATCACCATTCCCATTGAAAGGCAGCACCAGTCCTAAATCCTCGAGGATTTTGGAAGCTTTAAAGCCAGAGGTAAACTTAAACCTTGGGATTTTGAAGGCACCAACTTCGACTCTTGTTTTGGGGAGATGGCGATCTAAGAAACCAGGCTCGGAGCAAACTCTGTCGACCAAAGCTGGGAGCCCATCTCTTTCATTAGGAAGTAAAAAGTACATCGAAAACTGCCGCTCCTTGTCTTTTCCTGGTTCATACTCAAGCTTTGCGACCTTGAAGCTGTCAAAGGCTCTTACATACTGGTCCTCGTAGCTTCTGCACATGAACGGCGCCAGGACTTTAGTACCATCGAGAAGGTAAAAGTTTTGCTTGAATGTCATTGATGCATCAAACCGGTCCTTCCAAACTCCTTTGAAGTACAAGGCATTTACAATTATAAGCTTGGAGTCACTTTTAACTGTCCCAGGAAGAAGAACCTCAGTGATGAGGCCGTTCGTCTCCTATTCAACCCATGAATTCACTTCAACTCTCGCTTTGTCAGGGTCAGTCTTGACACTGACTTGTTTAATCGCTGCCTTGTAAACAGTGTCCACAACCTCCTTGAAAGATGGTTTGATAGAGAGAGACTCCTCAACCCAGAGGGCATTGGCAAAGTTGAGGCAAGGACCGCCTCTAGCGGATCCGTCTGCTAAGACCAAAGTTACAAGAGGGGCGGCAAGGGAGTTGAGTTGGTCGGAGGACTCGGACTTGAGGAAAGAGAGCAACTGGTCCTTAGTGAGACCCTTTGAACCGGCTGTTATCAAGAACAACACGACCTGGATGGACAGCGGCGAGTACACAATGTTCTTCCCTTTGCCTTCAGTCATGAGAAGATGCTTGGTGATTTTGAGTGCGACATCGGTTAGGCTGCTGGTGGAATACTCTTTGGGATCCATATCGATCGTTAACTTACGGGAGGAGGAGACACTAGCTGCAGGTAATTGGAGAGATTTAGATATAAATTGATCAAACCCTAAAACACACTCATGGCCGTATTGCCATGTATCCTTTAAAAACTACACTTTTATACATCATACATACAACACACATGCACACACACATATACATATATTTATACACATTTTTATACATGAAGAAAACCGATTGAGAAATTGATAGAGATGTAGATAACTGATAAAACCCTAAGTTATATTTATCAAGTGATTAAAATATAGCAGATGTTTCATGGTACTTGGTTGATTCCCCTCATTCGTTGGTTTGCAATTCAAGAAACCCTACACACCTCTTTATTTCTCAAGCACCTTTATGTACTTTAATATTCTTTAATTAATTTGATCAAAGGCCAAAAGTTAAAAGGATGTGTGGATAGCATACTGTCCAAACCCTAAACGCCAAACCCTGTACTACGTACTTTGGATATGTAGTCAAATAGATAGAAATCCTAAACCCTCGAATCAATAGAAACCTAGATGTGCAGAAAATTTGAAGAAGTACTTAGGCTACTGATATGAAAATTGAATGGAGATTAGCAGTAAATATTTCGTTCCATACCTGAGTGTTTCTTCGTTCGTGGTGAAGACGACGAGCTTCTCGGACGAATACGCTGAGTTTTTTAACACTGACGAAATAAAGCGAGTTGTTGTGGTACTGTGGGTCCTCTATATATATATATATATATATATATATATATATATATATATTCAGTTGAAAATATTGAGTTAAGGATCTATAAGAATTCCTCCAAATTCACAATTCTCAAATACAACTTTGATGATGTCACAATCAAATACTTTTTCATAATGAAGTATTTATAAGATAGAGCAATACTAGAAAAAAAATCAAATCAAATCTTTGTCCATAGAAAACCTAAATCAAATCTCTAAAATAATTTTCTTTATATTTTCCGACACCCCGTCTCACAATACAGAGGTCATTTTTCATGAATACCCAAGATATCTACCCGTATGATCTATCACGTTGTAAGTAGACTTAAAATTAGCTGAAGATTTCAAAATCATTTTTCATGAATACCCAGGATATCTACCCGTATGATCTATCACGTTGTAGGTAGACTTAAGATTAGCCCAAGATTTCAAAATCATTATCAACTCACCCTAACTTCGTTATGTTTTCCATCCAAATAAGTTGTGTTCAAGGTTATTTTGGACTTTTTACCTCTTTTTAATATGTTTATTTTTTAAGGAAAACTAACGAAAAGTCCAAACTTTTTTTCCTTTTAATGAAAAACCCTTTTAAAAGGAATAGTGAATAGTATTAGGGAAATGTATAAATGTGATTTTTCATTAAAAGTGAACAGTACCGGGAGTGTTTTGTTAAACCTTCCTATATTTTATTATTTATACAAACATCTATTTAAGGAACGAGAGAATAAATTGGTTTCAGACTTTTGACCTTTGTTTCACAAGTTCCCTATGGTACGAACTTGAGAATTTGGGCTACTAAAAAAACATGTTGTGTTCATCTTAATTTCAATTTTTGAGAATTCAACGCGGTCAATCATATCGATAAAAAAAAGAGTTGAAATGTCCGAAACAATCTTCAAGTGGAGTGGGGAGCTAAAACGCCTGAATAACCTAGAAAAGTAGTCGCGTGGGCTGATCCACAATGGGTCAAACTGGGCCAATTGACCCTGTGGAGCCGGAAATCTGGCTGAAGAGCGCTTTCAATGACCCTGTGGTCGTCTGGGTTTCAATCTTCTTGCCTGCAAGGTGTTCAACGATGCTCAAATACCGCCGTCTCGAACAAAGAACAAAACTCTCTTTCCTTTCTGTTTTTTTTTTTTTTTTTTTTGTTTTTTTGCCCTTTTTACAAAGCCGGTTGTTTCGATTTTTTTTTTTGTTACGTTCAGATCTCCAAGTTTTGTTGTGACCGTTCTTTTTTTGGGGTATTAAATGCTTCGTCGCATTGTGGAAAGCATTTTTTCCTCTGATGTTTACCTTAAGCTATACGACTGCAATATATGAGAACGATTTGAATCGAACCGAATCAAACGGTTTGGTTTTGTAGTAACTTGGTTTGGTTACGGTTTTACAGCAAAACTTAACATTCCCGGACCTCGTTCACCCCTAGACATGATTATAACATTGATCGATTTTGAGACGACTCTTATTCCTGCAGAAGATTTTGAGAACCCTAGACATGATTAAGACATTGATAGATTTTGAGAGCTCTTATTCCCGCAGAAGATTTTGAGAAAACTGTATTATTCATATCGATTGACTTTGGTAATATAGCTCAGCTGCTGAATCGAAAGTAGTGGTAGTACAACATGAATTGCTTTCAGAAATTTGACAACCCAATGTAGCATTACTTCCACAAGTAATCAAGCAACCAAAAGATTTGCAACAAGTTATATTTAGGCAGGGAGGAAAATAACCTGGAAAAATACAGCAGGACGGTATAAGTTGAGCAAAAAAGATATTACTTCGATTCAGAAGTCCAACCATTTTGCGAAGTAGACACAGGTTGATGGGGAAATAATCCCATCCGGTGTACATTGACTTATCCGCGGACAAACTCCACATGGAATAGAAGCCATTGCGCCAACTTTGGTTTCTCCTCTAGTACCTCCCTTGCCTTTGCATTTATAGCAAACTTTTCCAATTTGAATAGAAGCAAACTCCCCCATCCCGGTGCTCTTCACCTCCATGACTCGATTGTCCAAAACCAAATCCCTCACAATCTCCTCCGTTTGCTGTTTTGTAAACTCGGTCTTGAATATTTTAGTTTTTCTGATTGCATCCGCAATTCCCTCCAATGTAGCAACCTTCTGCTGATATATCATCTTCGCAAACTGATCTTTTACAAGGTTTATATAATCTTTGTCGAGTTTCCCCTCCGAGTACCAAGCCCCACCGGTTAACTCCTTGGAGGGCTCAAATTCTGTAGCAATGTAATGCTTTCTCCCCTTGCTTTGGACATTTACAACCTCTTGTATCAGTTTCTTTGCTTGAAGTGTTTTTAAGGCTGCGTTAAACACCTTGTCAGGTAGGTTTGTCTCTTTCTTCATGTCTCGTGTCCAAATTCCCATATCTTGCTTGCTATGGATCACATTGTATAGAATTCGCTCGTTCTGGCTCAAAGAGTCCGCCGGGGAACTAGAGTCAGGTTGTTTCCGTTTGCTCATTGCTGTGATCCTGTCGAGGAGAAAAAGAAACAACAGAAGAAACTTATCGACATTTGCATCACAAAGCCGAAGGCCTGTCCATCGCAGATTAACACTACTGAAAAACTAACCAATGAACAAGATAAACTGGAATCGCTCCAGCGGCCTCACGCTCGTTCTTGGTTTCACCCAAAGCTACTACGATTGCAAGATTATAAACTCGGAAAGTTTAATTTATCAACTATCTTAACTATTGAATTACAATGGTATACATAAACACTTAACCCTAATGGAAAATTGAAACCCTAAAACAAACAGGAACAGGATTAATCCTAATAAAACACAGAAGAATCCTAACCCTCGTGAAATTTCAAGAAAAAAAAGGACATGGAAGAATTAAAAAAATAAAAACCCTAGAAATTTCAAATTTACCTAAACCAGGTAAGCCAACAACTTCTGCAAAATCCACTTCCCAAATTTCAAACCAAATTAAACTCCTTCATAAATTTGAAATTAGCCCTAAATAAGCATACCTGTAAGGCTCTGTTCGGCTGAACTGAAGGAAGAAGCACGCAGAGAGTTGCAGAAGTTGCAAACTTTTAAACGACAAAACTTAGCTTGCCGTTTGTGGGCTTTAGTATCATCATTAGAATATGGGCCGGCCCAAACCGAAAAGCAAGTAAAAAAAAACCCTAATAAAGTCACGTGATCTGCACGTGCGATACCTTCATCGTCCCTGATATTTAATACTTAAACCCTTAACGGACCATCCGCCTCCTTCTGAAACCTCTCGCGGTTCTTCTGGGTGTCGGCCTCCGCGCAGCTCGAGAGAGAGGGGTTGGAATCGAAAATGGTGGCGCCGAAGAAGACGAAGAAGACCCATGAGAGCATCAACACCAGGCTCGCTCTCGTCATGAAGAGCGGCAAATACACTCTCGGTTACAAAACCGTCATCGATTCCCTACGCAGCTCCAAAGGCACCCGATTTCTTCATCTTTTTAATTCTTTGGTTTTTGAATTCTAAGTACTGGGTTCGTTTCAAGTTTTTTTAAATGGGATTTGATTGTGTTGCTGTGGAAATTGTTTTTGCAGGCAAGTTGATCATTATCTCCAACAATTGCCCGCCTCTTCGGAAGTCGGAAATCGAATACTATGCGATGCTTGCGAAGATTGGGGTTCACCATTACAACGGAAGTAAGTGGATCTCTGTATAATCAATCTGGGTTTGCTTGCTTTAGGTAGATTTTTTCGTGAACTTATGATATTACAAGTTTGTAGAATTGGCATCGATGTTTGGTCGGTGTCTTTGTTGTATACTTTGCTTTTCGCCCGATACATCGATAAAACAGAACTAATGTAATTGTTTATGAATGTTATGGACTTGGATGTTGTGGAATTTATCGATGCTTTTCTTGTTGGGTCGTTTTCTTAGCGCTATCTATGACAATTTTAGTTAAACTCGAGAGTTTATCTCGCCTCGTTTGGTGGCTTGTGTTGGATAATTCACTATATTTAATCCATTTCTTGCTTCAACATGGAGAACCAATGTTGTATTCACCCCTCGTGTTACACGCATATATCTCCATTTTGTTCACAGTAGGAGTAATGTGAGACATTTTCCGTGTTGTTTTGTTATATTTTCTTTCTGCTGTGTCGTATCTCTTTGATGATGGAATGAAGTTGAAATAATAAAGTTGATTATACTTACTCTATTCGTTTTCTTTTGGTAAAGTTTGTCAACTAGTATATAATTGAGTTTGCATTACTATTACCTTTTCATTTGGTTGGTCATATTTGTTCTGTTTTCAGACAATGTTGAGCTCGGTACAGCCTGCGGCAAGTATTTCCGCGTTTCGTGCCTTAGCATCATCGATGCAGGTACTCAAAAGTTGTATTACCATTTTGCACGATTTGTTGCACAAACTACTGATATGATAACCAATTTAGCTGACTTGTCACATGTTATAATAATTTTCAGGTGATTCGGATATCATAAAGACTCTACCTGGTGATCATTGAGGAACGCTGGATATCGCCCCCATTTTTGAAAGTGCAATTGGGTTTGTAGGCTTGCTTTCATTAAAATACTCTGATTTTCTATGAGGATGTATTCTTTTTCCATTAGTAGGAGGATACTTCCGATATATGAGGTTATCTTATCTTAGAAGTGATCTTCACGGTGTTATGAGAATCGTCTAAAGTTAAATTTTATTATGTTAGAGAAATCCCATTATGGGTTTTCTTTTCATCTGTTTTTTCGGTAATGCTCTCTGTTTACACCGTCTGTGCACACAGGGTTTCCAACCTGGAACTAGATTGCTTATGTATATCTCAGTCTTCTCCTTAACTTGTCGTAGTAAACACCAGAAAGATGGAATGTTGAATCTTAGTGTTATAACCTTGTTTATTTTATGGACTTTGCGTAAGCTTGGTTCCAATTTACCATTCGACTTCAGGCAACAATGGTGGATTTGTGGTATGATTGGGTTGTGGTTCTGTCGTTCGGCCTTCACTTCCCAGCCTTGTCCATGTCATAAAAATGGCTGTTGCTCGTGAGTCCGTTAGGCTTGCGAAAATTGTACAATTGAGGGGATTTATGCGAGGGAAAGAGATGATGACCATTTGATCGGACCAAAACATCATCTGTTTCAGATGCGAGAACGATCATGTTGCATAAGCAAAAGTGCCGCTGACGGTGCTTGGTCCCCGAAGCAAAAGCAACCCTGTCGTTGCCACAACCATGACGGGGCTCGTATGGCATCAGGGACCGATATCAGAGACCGACTCAACGAGGCTTCTTTCATTTTTCCTGTTGAGGTTGTGTGTTGGTACCTGAGAAAAATGGAAGATGCAGAATGCAGAGGACTGAGGGTTTCAAGAATCCTGAAACCAAAGGAAGTAAAGTTTTGGGTTGGATTTTTTGTCAAAGCAACATTGGGGAAGTTCACTTAGGCCCGTCGGCTAAGTTGCCTCTTGATCCTCAGTGGTGTTTTGTTTTGATTTTGCTTTTGAGTGTCCGTCCACTTATGAATTAGCCATTTGGGCCTCTTCAGTGCTCGTTCAACCCTTACAGTTTGCCTTAGTCTCTTTATGCGACGTGGAGGTTACGCCGTGCTTGGTCATGTCCTGCTTAGTTACAAGCTTACGTTACTAAATTCGTTTATTTGGGCTTTTATTGGGATTTGCCATGATGACTCATTATACTTGCCATTGGACCCCTTCCTTTCGAACAGCCTTAACTCATCGATTCATGTTTTTGGTTGTCATACGCATTTTCTTGAAAAGTTGGATCCCCTCCTAAGCTTAGGAGGTTGAGCTTCCTAAACAAAGGATCTGGGCCGTTTAATCCAACAACTACAAACAGAGGGTCTCTTTAAAAGTTATAATAATTGCAGTCATTGGATCAAATTTCAACGGCCTAGATCCTTTGCTCAAGAGGATCAACCTCCTAAGCTCAGGAGGTGATCCGGTTCCGGGAATATGAATTTAAATTTCGAGATATGTGTAAATCTCCAAATTAAACCCATTCAAGAGTAATAAATAGGGTGGTGGGCGAAAATGCCCCCATTAAGCAGCATTACCATTCTAACTAGACATGTTTAGACCATGCATTCATATGGGAGTTCTTGTGTTCAATTTTTTGTTTCAGTGAAGGACATTCCTTTTCAAGAATAATTTTTTCGGCTACACCGGAAAAAAATTCAACTCTAAACTTATCTTAATCATAACTCAATACTCTACTGTAAGTTCGACAAATCCAAGGACATGATTTTGACGAAGTAATTCGTTGTCAAATATTGGGCACAACTTGTGAGACTGATCGATTTTAACACTTGAAGTAGGACATCCTTCAATGATTTGAGGGAGACATTATTATTACATTTTGGTTTTGGCACACACGTCAAACTGCATACTGTTGAAGATGCTCTTCTTCGAAATTAAAGGGGCCTCAGAAATTGATGTTTCTGAAATCAAATTATGTGATGGATATGTTGTACAACTTACTCTACAATGTATTTTATCAATTCGATCGTCTGCTTTTTAGGTTTTTCTTAAAAAATTGTTATTAGTATTTCAAAAATCTCATTCTACACTCCTTATTAGTGTACTTTTCTTTTTAATTATAGAAAGCTTGGAGTGCAAAATGAGATTTTTAGAGTGTCAATAGCAATTCAATTTTTTAAAGCTTACTTAAATCGAAGTCATATGATTGTCGGATTAAATGTTAGTTATTTTAATGTTTCTCTAAAGAAGCATAGTCGCCTATTTTCTTTACTAAAATTGAATGTTTTAATGGTTTTAAATTTCTCTAATTTTTTTTTTTTACAATGAGCCTCTATCAATGGTGGATTGAAATTTAAACAGTTCTGACTCGTTAAAGAAAGTTATGAAGTTGGCACAACAAGGTTTTCATCGGGACTGCGTGTGTGTGTGTATTATTTACATATATAAAGACGCAGGTCCTGCACTACACTAGAGACTGGAGAAGAAGAGAGTAGAGCATACCCACAGCGTACCATGTACCGGGTATTTAGATGCTATGCATGTGGAGCCCTATCAATGCCGATAAATGCTATCCCGGCCCACTTGGATCAAGACATAACTTTTACTTGTTCCTCCAGATGGAGAAGAGCCGACATCGAGGTGCCAAACCTTCCTGTCGATGGGGACAAATGAAAGATTCTAGCTATGGTGCATGGTAGAAAACTTACCTGTAAATATCGGGATTGCTATGGATCCATCTAAAATAAACAAGCAGTTAATGCTTGTAAGCTTAGTGTCGAGTTTAAAGAAATATGAAAAACGTGGTTCGAGAGATATTTCATTATTTGGCACGACAGTAGCATTACTTAAAATTGTACAAAATTTTAGACCTCAACACTTAGCTTTACCACAATTCCCATTAGAGGCTATTATTCTTCGAGATGCTCTCAAATTTGCATGCCCATGAAGCATCAAGCATATCTCATGTTCAAGTGGAAGGAGATTCTAAACTTGTAATTGATGCGATCCTTGATTGATTCTCAATCTCGTAAAAATTGCGTACTATTATTAAGGATATACGCTTCTTAGTATGACATTTTGATTCTATACCATGAAGTCACATTTTTGCGGAGGTTATTTTCTAAGAACCTATCCTCTTAGTTTGTGATGGTGAAAATTGTTCTAGAAATTTTAGTTTGTAGTTCTATTTTATTAGAGCTAAACAACGCCATTTTCATATTATATACCAAGAAGTATTTTGATTTTCTTATCTTCGTAGCGTTGGAGAATAAGATCCTACATCATATATATGACAAAAATTATACAATTAGCATACGACAAATTTCGCCCTTAATATCACTTAAGCATTTTGTAATAAAGCCGATACTAATTATAGGTGGTTAAGAGCATCTTCAATGGAAACTCTAAATGGAGTCTCTACAAACGTATAGTCTCTAAATATAGGGACAAAAGACTTCCAATTGGTCGGAATAGAAGTCGCCAAAGTATCTCAATATATAGTGACTCGCCTGATACCTCAAAGAAATCCTCAAATGTGAGGACTGTATATAAGGACTCAAAGAGTGGACCCACTGTTACCCACGTGGAAGGCATCTTTTTGGATATTTTCTCTTTTTGGGAATGCTACACAACTTCTCTGTTTGGTTTTTTTTTTTTTTTTTTTTCATCAACGGTCCCAATACTCCAACGAAATGAACAATGATTTTTTTAATATTTTAGTCCCTACATTTATGTATTATATAAGGACCTCCCATTGCAAACAATATTCCTTTAGGGACCCGAATATTCCCTTAGTCTGAAAATGATCCTCAAAGTTAGTGATAATAGTCGCTAAATAGAGTTTCTCATTGGAGATGTTGTAAGTTAAGACAATATCGGTAATGTTGGTGAACTATGCTGAATCTAAAATGTTATCAACTTTGACTTGACTTTGAGTGAAGAGAAATGCTAATGAGACTTTCTCAAAAGTAAAATTCTTTATAAACTCTATACCACCTTATATTTTAAGCATAATATTTTATATTATTAACACAAAAATTAACGTTAAATATGAGATGTCAATAGTAATAAAGGATCACAGTTTTTAACCTCTTACTTTACCTGGCAAGAAAGTAAATGAGTAAGGGGATAAATGCTAAAAGGAGAAAGTAAAAGGCAACAGAAAGAAATGAAGATCAGCACTGAAAAAATTTAATGATGGGATATTACGGTAAATTTAGGCTGACAGCGGTGCCCAAAATGTGAAAAAACAGACCACTAATCAACGGCTTTAATCGGTAAGTCGTCATCCTCCCATGTGGGTGGTCTGGCCTCTGCCTGTGAGCTGTGACAACACAATTTTTGGAATTTGATGTAATTAATTTGGAAATTTAATTAACTTTGTTAGTTGGAAGCCTTGGAATTGGGATTCAAGTGATAAAAATAAAAAATAAATAAATAGAGGGTGCGATGCGTCTCCATCGAGTACGGAGAACAAAGGAAAGGAGGATAATGCAGCAACAGTAATTCCCCACTGTGACCACTGTTTTTTCCCCCCACCTCACAAGCGCTGCAGTGAAATTAAATCGGTTGAGATTTAAATAACTAAATCACTACTTTACGATAAAATTTTGATTAGGTATGCCTCATGCGACAGCACATTTTAAATCGGATGAGGTTTACATGAAGCGAGTTTCGACCCCTTGAATGTAAGGAACTTCTTCTCATCCATTAAGGATCAACCAAGTTAGTTTTTAGTGAAAAAAAAAAAAAGTAATGCTTGACTACTCAAGAATGAAGAAAATTCCTCTTCAAGAAATTTTGTGGCAAATAGATAGACGGTTCGTAATATTTTCACTGATTCTAACCATAAGTTTTTATATAGTTCAAGGACTACAGGATCTCGTATTTTATCAGTTTTTAACAAATATGATCTGTACATGGTGATTTATAAATGGTTCTGTGAATCAGCAACAAAGTGTAGTAAAAAGGAATTCCTTCATAATTTTGTGGAGTCAAGTATTTGCAAATCTCTTTCAAATGCTTTTGATCTACTCTTGAACCAGAATGACATTCTTAATTCCATCTATCTAACATTTTATAATTTATTTTTAAATAACTTTGTTTTGAGCCTTGCAAATCCCATACTACTAAATATAACCCAAGTGCGGAATCCAAATGAAAAAAATGGAACTGCAACTGATACGTGCATTGGAAAAGAAGAGAGAGGTCAAGGTCTACTTTAAATCTTGGGCATTGGTTTTTCTGACCGCATTGTGCGTGTTAGAGAGTAAGGCTACGTTTGTAGTTCAATGGCCAAGTCTTATGAGTAGTTCGACTTGCCTAATCCTTCATCATCCTCATTGAAATTAGAAAAAAGTTGGAACCGCAACTGATATGTGCATAGGAAAAGAAGAGAGAGGTCAAGGTCTGCTTTAAACCTTGGGTATTGATTCTTTCTGACCGCATTGTGCGTGTTAGAGAGTAGGGTTACTTTTGTAGTTTAATGACCAAGCATTATGAGTAGGTATTTTATCTTCTTCTTCTTCTTCTTTTTAGTATTATTATTATTAATTTTTGTTTTTTTGGTCAAAGAAACCTTATGAGTAGTTCGACTTGCTTAATCCTTCATCATCCTCATTAAAATAAAATAAAAAAAATTTATTGTTAGGGTTTAAGTTTTGTATTTCTTCTATTGTCTAATACAAAAATGCTTATATATTTGTTGTTGAATTAAAAATGGTTATGCTGGTAAAGATAGAGATGTGGGTTGGACATAGAATTAATTAAGCTAGATGATTATCTGTTCAAATTAAAATAATTTATAAAAGCGAATGGGTCCAAGTTGGATTGCCTGGCTGATTAGTGGCAAGCAATTAGTCTATTGTAATTAATTGTTGCTAGTTTCCTTTCAAATATGATTAAATGAGAAAGTTGAAAATGATATGCGCGCCCGAACCAAGTGTAGAATTTTGGCACATCCTTATTAATGATGAGGAGTGCCATTTGGGCTGGTTGGGCAGGTTAGATGGTCAACTCTATCGTTATTTGTAAGTGAGAAGTCTTATATTCGAATTTCATTGATGACGAGCAAAAAAGAAATTGACAATTCAAACGCTCACCACTTTACACTATAGTAAGGTTGGCGTCGAGTAAACCCAGATGAAAATTTCAAGAGATATCAACAGTTATGTGCAATGCTTTGTGCTACGCGAGCCTATTTTTGTGGTCACTATGAGCACAAAATTAAGGGAAAGAGGTGTTCAAAGTAGAAAGAGTGATGCAAAAAATGGGGGAAAAAATAAAATGGGGTTCAAGTAACATCTGCACCCTTCAACCGGGGAGATTATCTACACTTTGAACATTTTAATTGTATTTTATCTTTTTCTTGCATCTGAAGTATAGTAAAGTTTTAGAATTCAGTCTTCACAGGGGTCTAAATTTTACTCTCATAGATGTCATGTGTTTAATAAAACACCAAAAAGAGATCTAGGCTTTATAATTTTATTTTACTTTTTACTACATTAGTAAAACATAAGATCTCCCTTGAAGAAGATGTATCATCATCATCATATAACTGATATGAGTAATCTATCTTCTGTAAAATATTTACGACCGCATTTACAATGGCTTGCCATGGATTAGAACCGTAGTCATAAAAATCTTAAACAAAGTGTTAACAATGGGGATTGAATTACTATTATATGTAGATTTTTATAAGTGACAAAAAAGGGAAAAAATTGAGAATTGAAAGAAATTGTCTATAAAAATCCTGTATCCCTATCATCATCATTGTTGGTAATGATGCTTTATAATCATTCTGCTAACTTCACCTTGTTAAAAACCCTAGTCAAACGGGAAAGAGCTAATGCGACAACCAATCCATAAATTATTGAAGCTTCTGTAAAAGCCAAACTAAGCAATAAAGTACCAGATCAATAAGGTACCTTGGATTTTCCCTCCGCCTCTAGCTGTGTTGCAATCCCTTCTACAACTTGTCTTTTCACCATCCTCAAATGATGGTGATGCTCACTACTATATTTGTTATCATTAAATAAGTTTAAATTTCAATATCTGTATAATGTATACAAATCTCAAAATTTAACCTAATCAAATGATAATAAGTAGGGTGGTAAGCATCATTACTCAATAGTTAGAGATAATCACAAAATTTAACCTAGTCCAATGATAATAAACATAGTGGTAAGCTACCCAACAGTTAAAGATAAGCACACCGCTTCAATAATTAATGGGAAATTAAACAAACAAATGTATGAGACAACAACCCAAAAATCTAGGCATCCAATCAAATATAATGGTGATTAAGCCAAGTTGTATTGATCTGTTAGATGAGTAAGAAAAGAGAATTCTCTCAAACTTTTACTCCGGGACATTTACTTAGGTATTTTATGGTAGGCACTAATCCAAAAATTATCAAGATAATTAGCATAAATGTTACCAAAACTCAATGTTATTATATCCATCCATGCAATGCTAAAAAGAGAACCCTCATCCAATATTTAGTTAGATATATGCATGCTCGCTTACTAATCCGTATCGAAATGAGATTCTTCACCCAACTTTTAGTTCGATACATATATTAGTAGTCATCATAGAGTCTTTTTTTCATACAACGATATTGGGAAGAGATTTGGAAAAATAAAAATAAAAAAATAAAAAATAACACAGCAGAGCAACTATAATTATATACTTATTAAATTCGTCATTCATGAAAATTCAATCGCAGAGACCTCTCAATTATAAGTTAAAAAACGAATACAACTAAGTAGTACTACTTGTCACACCACTTGTGAACTAATGTTTGATCAACTTTCTTCCTCAAACGAGACTGATTTGGAGGAATCAACTCTCTAACTAAGTCAATAAATATGAAATCGTTTAATCATTAAACTGTATAAAAATATATGATCGGATTGAAAAAGTATTATCTATTTGCTACAGTTGATTGACTAAATGACCATTGTTTTAATTTATTTTTTTTGCAAAAATGATCTTTACATATTGATTTACAATATTAACGGATCCGATCAAAAGCATGAAGTTATGTGAATTGGTCACGAAACATTTTGAGGAGGAATTCTCCCTCATTCTTGAGTAGCCAACCATTGTTCCTTTTCCAGTAGGAATTAACTTGGCTCCTCAATGGATGAGTAGGAGGAATTCCTCCTCAAGATGTTTTAATTATAACTTATTCACATAACTTCATACTTGTGTTAAAAACTGTTCATATTATAAATCACTATGTAAAAATCATCTTTGCAAAAATTCAATAAAATATGAGATTATTTAGTCATCAAATTGTATAAAAACAAAAGATTGGATATGAAAACATTATGAATTGTCTATCTATTTCGTACAATCGATGGATTAAGGGCGGATGTGATCTTCATAGAGTAATTTATAACATAAATAATTTGAATTATAAACATAAAAATCTGTGAATCGATCACAAAGTATCTTGAGCAGAAACACCTCGTTTATTTGAGGGAGCCAAGCATTCCTCTTTGCACTAACCAAAAGCTCTTACATATTAAATACAAGTTGCTAATTACATTTTAGCTAACAAACAAGAGGAACAGTTCATCTCTTTTTAAAGCAACAAGTAAGCAGTCGTCTTCCAACCCTCCACCGATCTCTATACATTAGAAATCAATGGGTTGGGATGAGCTGTCCTGCTAGTGCATTAGATGCTTTTATCTGCATGCTTACGCGCGTTGTCTAGCTGCTTGCTGCTTGCTTCCCTGCCCTCGACTGGGAGAAACTTGACTCACCCTCCCACTCCCTCCCTCCCTCCTATATCTGTAATTTACCATTTCACAACATATTCTGGTCTGACTCTGAAATTCTGCAGAATGGTAAAAGAAATATATGAGTGGAAAACTCTGATATTTATCTTGTTTATGAATGTGGGCACCTCTATTATTGTTAAAAGGGCCGCTGGAGGACTGTTGAGAAGACCAAGTTGCCCCTAGAACAGTGTTGGGTGGGTGGGTGACTTTGGGTTTTCAAAGCACAGAAAAAAAAAGATGGAAAATTAAGGAGAATGCTTATAGAGAGAGAGAGAGAGAGACTGTTGGATGTAAAACCAAAAAAATATGAATAAAATTACTGGGGACGAGGAGGGGTTCAGGCAGGCATAAATGTGAGTGTAAAAAAGAGAGGTGGATTCTTATCATTCCTTTTACCAGACCCCACGAGTGGAGGGCGGAGGGCGGAGGGCGGAGAGGTTTTCTCTTTCTCTCTCTCGTCTTACTTCCTTCCTCATAGCTAGTAGCTCCACCACAAAGGTCCCTCACCTGCTTGACCTAATTTCTCTCTCTAAAGAGTAAGTGCCACTTCTGGTGCTGCGCAGGGGAAGGACAAGAGTTAATCATAGACCAAGAAAGTAAGAACCCCACAAACTCAATCTTAGTCGGTCTTAGCTTGGTCCAACTCCAATCCAATCCCTGCAATATTTTTAAAGAGATTCTCACTCCACCCCAGCCCCTCTCTCTCTCTCTCTCTCTAAAGTCCAAAGTCCAACCCAGCTCAAGAGAGAGAAAGACAAGAGAGAAGAAAAAGAAAAGTACTATTGTGGATGACTGATGAGTGAGAGAGAGATGGAGTTGATCAAGATCAATCAGCCAACAGCAACTTAAAACCCAAGAAACAAAAAAACACATAAAAATAAAGATATCATCTCTCTCTCTCTTCCTCCAAGTCCAAACCCTTCCCTACCAAATGGACTTATCAAATTTCCAACCCAACAACAACAAGAAGCAGCAGCAGCAGCAGCAGCAAAACAACAACACTTCCACTTCCACTTCTAACAACACCACCACAAGTCTCCACCACCACCATCTTCTTCCTCATCTTCAACAAAAATTCCAACACCACCACCAACAACAACACCCCTCCTCCTCTTCCTCTTACTCTTCTTCTTTTGTGCGCCCCTTTGATGGCATCAGATCTTCTTCAGGAGGAGGGGGAGGAGGAGGAGGACCCCGTTCCATGAGCTCCATCTCAATTCAAGCTGGCCTCACCGCCACTTCCCAATCTACCCCACCACCACCAACAACTTCTGCTCCTTCCTCCTCATCTTTCTCCTCTTCCTCCTCCACCTCCTCCCCCTCCTCCACTTCCACCTCCACCGCCCCTCCCCAACTAGTCGACGCCTCCCTCGCCATGGCCACCAGATCCGATCCCCACCCACCCACCAGACCCGGCTCCCTTCTCGACTCCGCCAAAAACAACCAAATTCAACAGCAACTGACTATTTCACCCGCCACCACTCCGCCTCCAGCAGCAGCAGCAACAACCACTCCAGTGGCCAAACGATCCACCAAGGACCGACACACAAAAGTTGAAGGCAGAGGCCGCCGCATACGAATGCCGGCAACCTGCGCGGCCAGAGTCTTCCAGTTGACAAGAGAACTGGGACATAAGTCTGACGGCGAGACCATTGAGTGGCTCCTCCAGCAAGCTGAGCCTTCCATCATCGCCGCCACCGGAACCGGCACCATCCCAGCCAATTTCTCAACCTTGAACATCTCCCTGCGCAGCAGTGGGTCAAGTCTCTCCTTTCCGCCTTCCAAGTCCGCCCCTCACTCCTTTCACGGCGCCTTGGCTCTCGCCCACCACCCTCACTACGACGAGGGTTGTGCCCATTCGGGTCTGATGGGGTTTCATCAACAACTTCAACAGCAACAGCATCCACAGCATCATCATCAGCCGCATCAGTCTCCTCTCATGACAGCAGATCAAATTGCAGAAGCGCTTCCAAGCGGCGGCCGAGACAGTGGCGGAGGCGGAGGTGGAGAATCGACTGAGAATTATATGAGAAAACGCTTTAGAGAAGATTTGTTCAAGGATGACAATCAAGAGCGAGGAGAAAGCGGCAGTGGTGGCGGAGGAGGATCGCCGTCCAGGAACAAGGCATTTAAGGGCGGGAGTAGTTGCGGGTTACAATTGCCGAAACAGCAGCAGCAGGGAGCGGAGCTAGGATCTTATTCTTCCGGGGTTTTGAGGCCTTCAAACATCTTACCCGCCACTGCGATGTGGGCAGTGGCACCAGCCCCAACAAGTGGTGCTGGCAGCACATTCTGGATGTTGCCAGTAACCGCTGGTTCCGCTGTACCTTCTATGGCCACCGGAACATCTGGGGCAGGTCCTTCAGAAGCAGCCCAAATGTGGACATTTCCGTCCGCAACCGCGAGTCACGTGAGCACCTTGCAAGCGCCATTGCATTTCATGCCGAGGTTCAATCTTCCAGGCAGTCTTGAATTCCAGCAAGCAGCAGCCGGCAGCCGAGGGAGTCCCCTCCAGTTGGGCTCCATGCTAATGCAACAACAACCGTCTCAGCATCTTGGCCTCGGACTTTCCGAGTCGAATTTAGGCATGCTGGCAGCGCTTAATGCTTACTCTAGAGGAGGTTTAAATATGAATTCCGATCACCAGCAGAGTCATCATCATCCGTTGGATCATCATCAACAACAACACCACCAGCATCAAACTACAGATAGTGGAGATGAAGGCCCAAACAGTTCTCAATGACATGAATAATATTTGGTCAGTTTTTTATTTTTATTTTTATTTTTGTGTAATTTACATGATGGCATTGGCATGCAGCTTGGCTATTGAAGTCCTCCTTCCAATTTTCCATTTAATTAATTAATAAATATTAATTAGAGGATGGGCAGGAACACTAGAGATTTGTTGGGTTTGTGTTTTTGCAGATTTGGAAGTTGAATTTGTAATGAGATGAGTGCATGGATGGTCTGTCTGATGAAAAGATAGGTTTCATTTGTAGCATTTGTTGGTGTTATAAATAGAAAAAAGTTAGAGAGAACCTTTACTAGGGACATAAGAGCAGTCGGTGTTAAGATATCACATTGTTTAGTTTCGTAACTATAACACAAAAGATTGTAAGAAAAAGAGAAAGGGAGGGATACTAATATTATTGATTTACTTTTCTTTTATGTGCATTGTAATCACACACGGAGTACTCTTTATATAAAGCCACAGCCATGACAAACCAAAAAATAAAATGTTGAAAACTTCACATAATAATAATCATACTAATGTGGCCTTTTTGAAAACTTCACATAATAACAAATACACTACTGTGGGCATTCATTCTCATAATTTCACAACACGCCCCCTTGGATGCCCATATATCAACATCAGTTGCCTAGTTAAAACTTTGCTCGGAAAAACCCAGTGGGAAAAAACCGTAGCGAAGAAAAAAAAGTACAACTTTGCTTGGATTGTTCATATAGTGTTAAGTATGCTTATTTTGCCTTGTTAAAACCTTGATAGGAAAAACCCAGTGGGAAAAATCCTAGTCGAAGGAAAACAAGTACAACATGCATGTATCATGGATGCTCCCCCTAATATGTATCTTCCCCTGATTTCTCATTCTTCAAGTTTAACTGATTGGTAAGTCGACGTAATCCGATACCATGCACTAACTTCTGAAACGTGCACTTTGATAGAGATTTAGTGAATAGGTCTGCCAAATTTTCATTGGAACAGATTTGTCTGACTTCAATAACTATAGCCTTCTGAAGCTTGTGTGCGCTAAAAAACTTTGAAAATATGTGTTTAGTCTTATCGTCCTAGATGAATCATTCCTTCATTTAGGCAACGCAGACTGCATTATCTTCATGAATGACAGTTGGAGTGTCTATCTTTGAAGGTATACCACATGAATTCTGGATATGATGGATCATTGATCTTAACCAAGAACGTTCACGACGTGCTTCATGTAAAGCAAGTATTTTCGAGTGATTGGAAGATGTAGCAACTAATGTTTGCTTTGTTGAGCACCATGAAATTGTTGTATCTTCATTAGTGAACACATATCCAGTTTGTGAGCAGACTTTATGTGGATCAAAGAGAAAACCAGCATCTGCATATCCAACAAGGATCTGGTCATTTGTGGATTTCTCTGAGTAGAAGAGACCCATGTTTGTTGTCCCATGAAGGTATCGTAAAACATCTTTAACTCCCTTCCAGTGACAAATTGTTGGAGTAGAGTTATACCTTGCTAACTAGTTGACTAAAAAAGCTATATTTGGTCTAGTGCATTGTGCTAAATACAATAAAGCACCTATTGTACTCATATATGGTACTTTTGGACCAAAGGCCATTTCACCTTCTTCTTTTGGACGGAATGGATATTTTTTCATGTCCAGAGAACGAACGACCATTGACATGCTTAGTGGATAAGCCTTGTCCATGCCAAATCGCTTAAGGATTTTTCCAATGTAAGATGATTGAAGGACTAAAATTCCATTAGCACAATGCTTGATTTGTAGGCAGAGACAATATTTTGTTTTCCATGGTTCTTCATTTCAAATTCGCTTTTCAGATATTCAACAATTTTATTGAGTTCTTCAAGGGTTCTAACTAAGTTCATATCATTGACATATACTGCCACTATAGCAAATCCAGAATTTGATTTCTTAATGAACACACAATGGCAAATGACATTGTTGGTATATCCTTCTTTGATCAAATACTCACTAAGACGATTATACCACATTCGTCCAAATTGTTTCAGCCCATATAATGATCGTCTTAATTTGATTGAGAGCGTACCTCGTGGTTTGTTAGTCATTTAAGGCAACTTAAGTCCTTCTGGGACCTTTATATATATGTCAGTTTCTAATTCTGCATATAGATACGTGGTGATGACATTCATAAGTCGCATGTCAAGTTTTTCTAAAACCACCAAACTTATTAACTAACAGAACATAATTGCATCCATTACAGGAGAGTATGTCTCCTCATAATTAACTCCAAGTCTTTGTGAAAAACCTTGTGCAAGATTCGTGCTTTATATCTTACAATCTCGTTTTTCTCATTGTGCTTTCTTATGAATACCCATTTGTAACCCACTGGGTTTACATCAGTCGGGGTTTAGACTACTGGTCCAAAAGCACTTCGCCTTTCTAAGGAATTTAATTATGCCTGGATTGCATTTTTTCACTTAGGCCAATCTTGTCTCTATATGCATTCATCAATAGAGATGGGCTCAATATCATTGCTTAATATGATTTCAGTGGCTACTGCGAATGCGAACATGTCGTCGATGATTATTGTATTTCGATCCCACAATTCCTTAGTACATGCATAATTCATGTGCTTCTATCGTTTCAGGGACATGTGTCTCATCAAGGACATTTTCCTTTTCAGAATCATGAATTGTGGATTTGTCATTCATTTTCTTTTTCTGAATGATTTCATTTGGATTCATTTGTGCCTTCATCTTTCTTTTTCGAGGGGCTGAATCTTTTGAACTTGGGGGCCTACCACGCTTCAAGAATACATCAGAAGAATCATTCCCTGCCACTTTATTTTGTCCCACAAGGACATCAATTCTTGTAGGCGCATTTGCAGCTGGTATATGTGATTTTGTTACTTTCGTAGCATTATTAAATGCATTTGGCATTTGATTAGCAATACTTTGAAGATGAACGATCATTTTCACATTGAGTGCTTCGTGGGTCAAAATGAGATAAGGTGGGTATAATCTATGTCAGCTCTTGCCGTTCTTCTATAACGGTATTTTCTCCCCCTAAAGACGGGAAGACTGTCTCATAAAAGTGACAATCCACAAATTGAGTTGTAAACATATCACCTGTGAAGGGTTCCAAATATCTAATGATAGATGGTGAATCAAAACCCATATAAATTACAATCTACCATGAGGTCCCATTTTAGTGCGTTGTGGCAGTACAATAGGCACATAAATAACACAACCAAAAACTTGTAAATGTGAAATGTTTGGCTGATGCCCAAACACGAGTTGTACTGGGGACTATTAGTGGATGGTTATAGGTCTCAATCGATCTAATGATGCAGCATGTAAGATGGCATGTCCTCATGCAGAAACTGGCAATTCTGTTTTCATGCACAAAATGCGAGCTATTAATCAAAGCCGCTTGATAAATGCTTCTGCTAAACCATTTTGAGTATGGACATGAGGAACATGTTTTCAACATCAATGCCTTGTGTCATGTAGTAATCATCAAAGGTTTGAGACATAAATTCACCAGCATTATCAAGTCGGATTGACTTAAGAGGGTAATCTGGGAACTGTGCTCACAACTTAATTATCTAAGCAAGAAGTCTTGCAAAAGCAACTTTTCGAGTAGACAAGAGGCAAACATGTAACCATCAGGTAGATGCATCAACCAAAACCATAAAATATCAAAATGGTCCACAAGGTGGTTGAACGGGCCCATAAATATACCCTTGAATTCTTTGCAAAAATGATGGGGATTCAGCATCAATCTTAGTTGTGCTAGTCTAATTACCAACTTCCCTTGATAACAAGCCAAGGCTTGTTATCAAGCGACGTTGGTAATTAGACCATTACAACTAAAGATTGATGCTGAATCCCCATCATTTTTGCAAAGAATTCAAGGGGATATTTGTGGGCCCGTTCAACCACCTTATGGAGCATTTCGATATTTATGGTTTTGGTTGATGCATCTACCCAATGGTCATATGTTTGCCTCTTATCTACTCGAAATGTTGCTTTTGCAAGACTTCGTGCTCAGATAATTAAGTTGCAAGCAAAGTTCCCGGATTACCCTATGAAGTCAATCCGATTTGATAATGCTGGTGAATTTATGTCTTAAACCTTTGATGATTACTACATGACCCAAGACATTGATGTTAAACACATGTTCCTCATGTCCATACTTAAAATGGTTTAGCAGAAGCATTTATCAAGTGGCTTCAATTAATAACTCGCACTCTGCGCATGAAAACAAAATTGCTAGTTTTTGCATGGGGACATGTCATCTTACATGTTGCATCATTGGTTTAATTGAGACCTATAGCCAACCATCAATACTCCCCAGTACAACTCGTGTTTGGGCATCAGCCAAACATTTCACTTTTACGAGTTTTTGGTCGTGTTGTTTATGTGCCTATTGTACCGTCACAACATACTAAAATGGAACATCAGCACAGACTGGGAATTTATGTGGGTTTTGATTCACCATTTATCATTAGATATTTGGAACCCTTGACATGTGATATGATTACAGATCATTTAACGGATTGTCACTTTAATGAGACAGTCTTCCCGTCATTAGGAGGAGAAAAGATTGTTCCAGAAGAACGGCAAGAGTTGATATGGGTTGTACCCACCTTATCTCATTTTGACCCACGAAGCACTCAACGTGAAAATGAAGTGAAGATGATCGTTCATCTTCAAAGTATTGCTAATCAAATGTCAGATACATTTAACAATGCCACAAAAGTGACAAACTCACATATACCAGCGGCAAATACGCCTATAAGAATTGATGTTCCTATGAGACAAAATAAAGTGGCAGCGAATGATTCTTCCGATGCACGCCTGAAGCGTGGTAGACCCCAAGGTTCAAAAGATTCAGCCCCTCGAAAGAGAAAGATGAGGGCACAAATTAGTCCAAATGAAATCATTCAGAAAATGACAATGAATGACAAATCCACAATTCATGATTTTGAAAAAGAAAATGTCATTGATGAGACACATATCCCTAAAGAGATGGAAGTATATGAAAGCAAAAAAATCTCCATAAATTATGCATGTACTAATGAATTGTGGGATCGAAATGAAATAATCATCGACGACATATTTGCATTCACAGTAGCCACTAAAATCATGTTAAGCGATGATATCGAGCCTCGCTCTGTTGATGAATGCAAATAGAGATAAGATTGGCCTAAGTGGAAATATGCAAGCTAGGTTGAATTAAATTCGTTAGAATGGCGAAGTGTTTTTGGACCGGTAGTCCAAACCCCGCCTGGTGTAAACCCCATGGGTTACAAATGGGTATTTACAAGAAAGCGCAATGAGAAAAAAGAGATTGCAAGATATAAGGCACGACTCGTTGCACAAGGTTTTTCATAAAGACCTGGAATTGATTATGAGGAGACATACTCTCATGTAATGGATGTAATTATGTTCCGTTACTTAATAAGTTTAGTGGTTTCAGAAAAAATTGACATGCGACTTATGGATGTCATCACCGTGTATCTATATGGAGAATTAGATATTGACATATATATATATATATATATATATATATATATATATATATATATATATGAAGGTCCTGGAACGACTTAAGTTGCCTAAAATGACTAACACACCATGAGGTATGCTCTCAATCAAATTAAGGTGATCATTATATGGGTTGAAACAATCTGGATGAATGTGGTATAATCGTTTCAGTGAGTATTTGATCAATGAATGATGTACCAACAATGTCATTTGCCCTTGTGTGTTCATTAAGAAATCAAATTATGGATTTGCTATAGTGGCATTATATGTCGATGATATGAATTTAGTTGGAACCCCTGAAGAGCTCAATAAAACTGTTGAATATCTGAAAAGCGAATTTGAAATGAAAGACCTTGGAAAAAACAAAATATTGTCTCGGCTAGTAGATCGAGCATTGTGCTAATGCAATTTTGATCCATCAATCAACTTACATTGAAAAAAATTCTGAAGCGATTTGGCATGGACAAGGCTTATCCACTCAGCACGCCAATGGTCGTTCGTTCTCTGTACATTAAGAAAGATCCATTCCGTCCAAAACAAGATGATGAAATGGTCCTTGGTCCAGAAGTACCATATCTAAGTGCAATTGGTGCTTTATTGTGTTTAGCACAATGTACTAGACCAGATATAGTTCTTTTAGTCAACTTGTTAGGAAGATATAGATTTGCTCCAACAATTCGTCACTGGAAGGGAGTCAAAGATGTTTTACGATACCTTCGTGGGACAATAGACATGGGTCTCTTCTACTTAGGGAAATCCACAAATGACCAGATCTTTGTAGAATATGCAGATGTTGGTTTTCTCTTCAATCCACATAAAGCCCACTCACAAACTGTTCACTAATGGAGATACAACAATCTCATGGTGCTCAACAAAGCAAACATTAGTTGCTACATCTTCCAATCACTCGGAAATACTTGTTTGACATGAAGCAAGTCGTGAATGTTCTTGGTTAAGATCAATGATCCATCATATCCGGAATTCATGTGGTCTACCTTCAAAGATAGACACTCCAACTGTCATTCATGTAGATAATGCAACATGTGTTGCCCAAATGAAGGAATGATTCATCAAGGGCAATAAGACTAAACACATATCTCTAAAGTTTTTCAGTGCACATGAGCT